GGGGGGGGGCAGTGGGTACACCCCACTCCATTACCTCCCAACGCGCGAGAGTATGAGTATGAACAAGTCTTGGCCGTGGTGGAAGTCATGGGGTGTTCTCCTGGGTAAGGTGCCGTGTCGGGAAGGAGGGAGGGAGGGGGGCGGACAAGGTGAGGGACGAGGTGGAGAGGGGGGGGGGGGGGACGAGGTGGTGGGGACGTGGTGGTGAGGGGGAGGCACGGTCAGGGGAGGTGGGCAAGGAGGTGGTGGGGACAGAGGCAGAAAGAGTAGATGAAAGGGTGAGTTGGGCAATTGGGAGACATGGGGGTTTTTTTTCGAGTGTTGAATGGTGTGGGGACTCATGGTGGATGATGGTGAATACCGACGGTGGCTGCGATGACGACGACATCGGGACCGATATCACTGCACGGATCACGACGACAACCGGGATGATCACTGCTCGCTGCGCACGGGCTCAGGTGCCGGCGCTGCGCTGGCTTCGTCGGTGGCAGTGTACCGCTGGCTCACGGCACGCGCACACGAGGACGACGGCTTTGATGACTCGGGCAAGCGCGGGCGCGACACGGTGAGGCACCTGACCGAGATGTTCATCTCGCAGTACCCGAACGGCATGACCAAGGAGGACGTGCTGGCGTATCAGTCCGAGTTTACTGAGAACAACATCGATGTTCTCTTCAACGCCATCGACTCTGACGGCAACGGCGTCGTCTCGTGCGAGGAGTTCCTGCTGTGGAAGCTCGCCATGTCTGCGCCCGAGTCTGCCGCCCGCTTCACCTTCCACATGTGGGACACCGACCACTCCGGCTCGCTCTCCTTCTCCGAAGTCATGCGCATGTTCCTCATCCTCCGTTCCGCCAACGCCATCAAGACGTCCAAGGACGCCAACGAGCTCGCCCGCGAGCTCTTCGCCAAGGCCGACGTCAACCACAACGGCTTCATCTCAGAGACCGAGTTCATGGCCGCCATGTCCATCCTCCACGACATGGACGAATCCGAGCACCCCGAGTACTTCCAGCGCCTAGTCAACATCATCTAAACTGCAAACTGCCACCCTTGCCTCCATCCCCCCCTCCCTCCCAGACACGGCACTACGCGATCAGCATACGATGCCAGGGAGAGAGGCCAGCCAGCCAGCCGAGCTCAGCCCAGTCAGTCAGCCAAGCTCAGCCCGGACACCACCCTCCCCACTCGTCGCCACCCTTCCACCGAGTGCCTTGCTATGGCAACGCGAGACGGATGGCTCTCCCTCTGGCCTACAGCGGCCTCGCTTGCTCTTGCTGCAGCCATTGTGTTTGCGCTCCTCCGCGCGCCTTATGCCAAAGTCGAGGAGTCGTTCAACCTGCATGCGAGCCATGACCTTGTGAGCGTTTGGGGTCGACCTCTGTTTTCCACGGCGTACAACGTTTCACAATTTGATCACATATTTTTCCCCGGCGTCGTCCCTCGGACCTTTGCCGGCCCCATCGCCCTCGCCGCCCCCTTCCGCCTCTGCTCCCTCGTCTCGCTCCTCCCGCCAGCCTTTGAGACCCTGCCTGGCATCGCGGCTTGCGCCCGCCCGGGCGTTGGCTGGGCCTGGCAGATCGCGGTCCGCGCCGTCCTTGGCGGCTATGTCTGGCTCTCGTGGCTGGTGGCGGCGCAGGGCCTCGCAAGGGCCACCGGCTCGCGCCGCACGGGCAAGCTCATGCTCGCCGTCACAGCCGCACAGTTCCACATGACGTTCTACGCGTCGCGGACGCTGCCCAACGTCTTTGCACTCGCCATCGTCAACCTCGGACTCGGCGCCTGGCTTGCCGGCGCCTGGCGCGCCTTCATCGTCGCCTTTGCCGTCGTCATCCCGCTCTTCCGCGCCGAGATCGTTGGCCTCTTCGGCCCGCTTGTCCTCTTCAGCTGGCTTGTCGACCGCCGCCCGGTTGCCTCGACGCTGACGCTCGGCATCGCCGTTGGCCTTGCCACTATTGTCGCCTCGGTCGCCGTCGACTCGGGATTCTGGCGCCGCACACTCTGGCCCGAAGGCGAGGTTCTCCACTTCAACACCGTCCTCAACAAGTCGTCCGAGTGGGGCACCTCGCCGTGGCACTGGTACGTCACCAGGGCGCTGCCCAAGGCGCTCCTCGGCGCGCTACCCGGCATGATCCTCGCTGCCTTTGCTGCGCCGCGCTCCCTCGTCGCCCGCCTCGCCCTACCACCGGCTGTCTTTGTCGCCCTCTACTCTCTGCTTCCGCACAAGGAGCTCCGCTTTATCTTCTACGTCATCCCGCTCTTCAACGCCCTTGCCGCTGTTGGCTACAATTGGGCCCTCGCCGGCTCGCGCCTCGGCCGCGCCGCCCTCGCCGCGCTACTCCTTGCCTCGGCCGCCGCCGCCCAGCTCATGGTCCACATCTCGGCCCACAACTACCCGGGCGGCGACGCGCTCACCGCTTTCAACTCTCTTGCCGCAGCAACGCCCTCAACTCTGCTTGCCGTCCACATTGATGCCGATGCTGCCATGACCGGTGTCTCGCTCTTTGGCCAATCGGCGCCCAACGTGATGTACTCCAAGACCGAAGGCCTCACCTCGTGGGACAACTTTACCCACCTCATCACAGCTGCCTCACCGGCACAGCGTCCAGGCTTTGCCCTCCTCGCCACCATTCCGGCCTATGCTGGCCTCCGTTTTTGCCGCTCTGCCTGCGCCTTTGGGCTCCCGCTCGGCCTTGACCTCATCCTGGAGCCTGCGCTCTACATCCTGGCACGGGAGACGTAGCCGTTGACCTGATCGCTTTTACACAAACTGCGCCCGTCCTCACTTGGTCTTGGTCTTGGCCTTTTTGCCCTTGCTCTTGCTCTTGCTCTTCTTGCTGCTCTTGCTCTTCTTCTTGCTGCTCATGCTCTTCTTGCTCCCCTTGCTCTTCTTCTTGCTCTTGCTCCGACCCTCATCGCTCACGTCGTCATACACATGCCGCGCGTTGTCGCACCACAGCTTGTAAGCTCTGTGCATCACCGCGGGCTCCCACTCGGTCTGGCGGCGCATGTAGTCGCGGATGGCTTTCTTGCGGCTCGAGTAAGACGCGCCCTTGTTAACGCGGACCCTAACCTTCTCCACCTCGACGTCGTACTGCACAGGCTTGGGAATGACCCTGAAACCACGGCGCAGCTGCTCCTCCAGCCGAGCGATCTCCTCCTCCAGCACGGCGTCATCGGCGTCAGCAAGCCGGACCACCACACCGTCGCGGGCAAACTCGGAATGGACCTCCCACTGCGAGTCGCAGCGCTCGACATCGTCCGCGATGTCTGCCACCCACAACCACATCGATCCCCGCCATCATCATCATCACCACCACCACATCGATCCCCGCCATCACCACCATCAACACCATCCCCGCCATCCCCACCACCATCCCCACCACAGCCACAGACAGCCGCACCAGTCAGTCACCGCCCCCCCCTCCCCCCTTCCCCCCACCCACCCACACCCCCTCCCTCTCCCCCTCCCCCTTTGCCACACATACCCCATTCGTCCGTGGTGTAGCTCGAACCGTACGACGTGTACGACATGGTTGTCCAGTCAGAGAGTAGTAGCCAGCTATCTGGTTGCTCATACCCACCTTGCCCACCGCACCGACTGGCAGTCTGTTCATCGCCTGTCTGCAACGCCCACCACTCAGGCAACGAACAAATTGTGGGAAACTGGTATGGTACAGGGGGGAAGGGGATCATGGGTGGATGGTCCTCCACAGCCTCCTGCCACACTCTATCCACACACACCAACTCGTTCTACTCATCACACTTATCACGCATATAGACGATATGTGCGTGTGTTCTGCCCACAACATGTCCTTCCCATCGCTCGTGGCCACTCTTTCTGCATCTGGAGTCGTCCGATCACAGATCGCTCGAAAAAAACAACAACAACCACACCACACGCGTAAACATCATCTGCAATCCCATCACACACATCTCCCTCCCCCGCCTCTCTTCCTACCGTCATCCCTTCCCTCCCTACTGCAACCATCCCTGTCCACATATTTCATCACGATCACCCTCGCAACCATCATCACCATCACCATCATCACCATCACTATCCATCCATCCTCCCCCTCTCCCCCCTCCCCCACCCATGCCCCCCTCCCCCCCCGCGGGCCACCAGTCCACCCCTCTCCACCTCACTATTCTCACCCTCAGCCTCCACCATGGACACCTGGCACACGCATCCTGAAGGGGTGCGTCCATGGTCTGCGCTTGTCACGCCTTCGAGCGGCTCAGCTGGGAGGCAGCCAGTTGAGACGGGCACGAGACAGTCAGTGCCTGCCGAAACGCCGCTAGAGGCCAAGAGCTCGAAGCCACCCGCGACTTTGGCTTCCAAGGCCGATGAGGAGGAAATCGCAGCTTGGATTGCAGAGCGGAAGAAGCGGTTCCCAACGCGGGCAAACATCGCTGCAAAGCTGGCGGCAGAGAAGAAGGCTGAGGTCACTGGCGCTCTCCCGCTGGACGCGCACACGGGCAAGCTTCGGAAGCGCCGGCGCGCCCCCTCGGCTCCATCAAGCTCTTCCACTAACGACCCGCCGCTCAAGCGGAGAAAGAAAATCCGGACCCGCCGCCGCTCGACCCGCACTAACCCGCCGCCGCCTGCAACCATCCCACCGCCCGCAACATCTGCCTCGTCGCTTGTGGCTGGCTACGGTGCTTCGTCGTCATCCTCCTCTTCCTCGCCGTCAGCCGCAGTCGTCGATCACGCGTATTCATACTCGTACGCATCGATGTCGGCTTCGACATCGCCGTCGGCTTCGGCTTCGGCTCAAGCTGCCCACTCGCCGCCCCTGCCGGGAGCATCTCCTGCTTGTCAGGCCGAGACCGACGCTGTGTCGGCATGCCATCCTGACGCCAAGGCCAAGGCCAAGCCTGATCGTCGCGCTGCGCGGCTCTGTCGGTTCTTTGCCCGCGGCCGGTGCAAGAACGGCGAGACCTGCCCGTACCTGCATGACCCCTCGCGAGTCCTCTGCCCGCACCTGCGCAAGGCCAAATCCAAAACCGCCGCCAAAAGGCCGTCTGCCCGGACGGCGCGGCGTGCCGCTACTCGCACACCCGCAAGGCCCGAACCAATGTCGCCGCCCTGCCGCCGACAAAGCCATCGCTTCTCTCGCGTCTCTTTGCCCGCGAGCTGCGAAGCGACGCTTCGCTCGTCCTCCAGGTCTTCCGCCGCTGGATCGAGACCGACTTTGCCCGCTAGCACCTCCCGCACACGCCCTCACGCTTGTTTACACACGCGTCCGCGAGAGATGGACCCACTGCCGCAGCCGCAGGTCGACGGCCTGGCCCGGCGTGTTGTCTTCGTCGGGTGGAACGATAAGGTTGGCTACAACGGCGATGAGGCCCTTCTGCGGCCGCATAGCGTGCGTCACCATGCCGCACGTCCGGCACTTGAAGATCGACCACTCGAGCTTGGGAATGACCTTGTGCTTGAGCATGTCCGAGACCTTGAGAAACGGGTTGAACTCCTCCACGTTGGTTCCGAGGCCGTTGTGCAGCTCGGCCGAGGTGATGAACCGCCACTGCAGCTGCCGCGCCGAAAACTCGTGCAGCGTCTGCATCTCGGTCAGCACGTCTGCGCACCCGATGTTGGGGCACGACGACCGAGTCGATGACTCGATGGTGCACGCGCACGATGAAGTCACCACCTTCGACCGCCCGTCCTCCACCACAGACAGCACGTTACCGCCGCAAAGGCACTGGTACTGCGAGAGCGGTGACGACGGCCGCTGCTTCTGAGCCAGCATCTGCTCCCACTGCTTCAGCTGCAGCATGTACTTGCTCTCAGCCTCAAACACAAACCGCGCCTCGCGCACGAGTACAAACGCCTCATACAGCGGCATGTGCCGCGACACCATCAGGTACCCCATCAGCATCACGCACGCGGGCGAGTTGACCGTCTCGCGTGCCACAAACACCACACGCGCCCCGTGTCGCAGCGCAGAGTCTACAAACTCCTGCACGAGCGGAATCGACGACGCAAGCTCAAACGACGCACTAGCCGCTGTGTTGCCGCTTGCCTCCGTGAAAGCGTTGGCCAGCGTCTGGCCCTCGCCCTCCACCACATGCGCCGTCTCTAACACGTTCAGTTGCAGCCGCGTCCGGTACGGCGTCGGCGAGCAATTGACCACGTGCGTCACTCCGAGCTCAAGCAGCTCGTCGAGATCCTCCGCCACAAGCGACGATGCCACATACAGCTCGTCCGTCACTCGCGTGATTGCCTTGTCGTACCATAGCTCCGCCACGTGGTTTTTTGGCTCGTTGCTCGCCCCGCTCGTCCCCTGGCCCTTGCTTCTAGGCTGTTCGCCGAGTATCGCGCTCGAAATCGCGCCCGCGCCACCGTCGCCAGCAGACACCGAAGTGGCCGACACCGATCCGCCACCGCTCATCATCACAGACGTCTGTCCATCCGTTGCTCCCGCCGATGTCACCGACCGGTCAAAGAGCCGCGTCTTGAAAAGCTGCCCGATCCGCTGCCTCTGACCCGCGATGCCCGCTTCTTCCACGACGACGTCACCTTCTTCCCGTGCTTCGCCACCCACGCCGCTGCCACGGGCAGCAGCTGCGCCTCAAACTTGACAATGACTTCAGCGAGCGTCGGCCGCTTCTTGGGATCGCGCTGGAGCACAAACTCCAAAAACTCGAGCACATCCTTGTTGTGATCTACCAGCGCCGCCCGCTCCTCGGCAATGAGCTCCACGCCTTCGGTCGTAACCCGGTAGTAGAACTCGCCCCAGTTGTCGGGGTTGTACGGATCACAGAACAAGTACTCCGAGGTGAGGAGCTCAAAGAGAAGACACCCGATCGACCACACGTCCGACGCCGGTCCGGCCCCGCCGCCGGCCCCAGACTTTTCGTACGACGCCTTGATCTTCGACTTTTCGTCAGCGTACGCCATCGTCAGCATCTCCGGCGACTTGATGTACTCGGTCCCGCGGTTACGCTTGGTGAACGCGGACTCGCCCTCAGCAAACGCCTTCGACTCGCCAAAGTCGGCCAGCACCACCTTGACCGACGGCCGCCCGGTCGCAAGCAGCTCCGAGAGCTGGTCTAGCACCGTCTCGGGCGCCCCAGACGACGCAGACGCAGGATCCCGTGCCTCCACGAGGAAGTTGTCACACTTGATGTCGTAGTGGTTGACCCGGTGCGCCTCGAGCAGCCGCAGCACCTTGAGTGTCTCGTAGTACAGATACAGGTACACCCCAAACGACTCCTCGAAACGGAGCTTCTGCTGCAGCCGCCACTCCCGCAGCGACATCGTGTACCGCTTCATCACGATCCAGTAGTTGTTGCCGTCCACCCCGTAGTCGTACACATGCGACGCCCGCAAGTCGTGCCGCAGCCGATCCAGAATCACAATCTCGGAAAAGATGTCATGCAGGACGCACCGGTCGTGGACCGTCCGCGGCAGCGTCATCACCTTGGCCGCCAGCTTGGTTCCCGTCGGCCCAAACTTGGTCTGATACACAAAGCCAAAGGCTCCTGCTCCAAGCCGCTCGCCCATCTCGTACAAGTGCGCCGGAAAGAGCGAGGTGCAGAGAAGTTTCAGCAGCCGCATCGCCCCGGCTCCCAGCTCGCGCGTCTCCTTGATCAGCAGCGGCACAATCGACGCGTTGTCCGGGTAGTTGATGTGCATGTGCAGGTAGAACGGCACGTTGAGCTTCTTGTACGTCGTCGGAAACTGATCTGTGTACAGCGACTCGAGCTTGTCGTCCTCCGTCAGAATGAGAAGCATGAGCAGCTCAATAATGAGCACGTGCATCCCGTCGTCGTGGTACAGCTTCCGGTTGTTCCGCTCCGTCTTGTAGTACGCGTCCGCGTCAAGCGAAAAGTCCCATGACAGGTAGTCCTCCAGCGTCCGGAGCACATGCGGCTGGTCTTGCAGCAGCTGGAACTTGGTGTCCGGTCCACCGTGATCGACCTGCGCAAACCGTTCCAGCCCGCGCTGCTGCCGCGACGACGTCCATGCCTGGGTCCCAGAGCTCAACTGCACCATCCGCCGTCCAAGCCCTTTGCCGGCCGCCGCCGACGGGCTCGGCGACCCAAGTGATGCCTCGCGCATCCGCCGCTTCTTCCGCCGGCCCCTATTGCGATGGCCAGACGCCGCGTGCACCGATACACGCGGCCTACTTGCGCTTGATATGGGTGAGCCGGACGAGCCGGATTCGGTGCCACCAATCCCCAGGACCCGCATCGACGAGGTGGCCTCGGTCCCGCACGTGGCTGACGATCCGTCATACTCGTCCTCGGTACCGTACTCGGACGAGACCCGTCGCTTCGATGCCCTCACAGACATGTCGCGAACCGTCGGCTGTGTCACCCCAATGACAGGCCCTGAGACAGGCGCCTCACCAAAGTCAAGCATCAGTCCGGGCACTGCCCCATCGGCGTCTCCTTGTCGGCTCACCTTGAGCGAGCCGCCGCCAAGCGGAGCCATCGTCTTGACCACCGCGTCACGGCCCACCACAGCCCGCGCGTCGACCGTGAGGTCCGCAGTCAACTTGAGGCCCGGAATGCGGACACTGCCAAGGCCAAAGCCGCCACCACCACCACCATCACCGCTCCTGCTGCTGATGCTGCTACTGCACACACTGCTGCTACTCACGCTTCCGCCGGCGCCCTCGCTGCTGCTCTCACCGTACTCGGAAAGCGCAGAGCTCGAGTCTCGCGACACGCACCGGTCCTCCAGCTCCGACGAGTTGGCGTCTTCCCAGAGCGACGGCGTGAGCGACGGCGAGACCGAGGTGGTCACTGAACCCGATGACGACGAGGTAAACGAGTAAGATCCGCCCGACGGAGATGGCACAGCGAGCGACGACGTCGACCGTGACTCCGACGACAGCGCCTCCTCCTGCTCAACGAGGCCCGGCGCGTGGTGCGAGCGCGGCGCTGACTTTTTCGGGTCTTCTACGCCGACCACCGCGCCACCCACATCGTCGTCGAGCACCACGTCGAGGTTGCGGTCAGACTTCTGCGCGTTGACATCCAGCACAATGTCCGACCCGCGGACGTCCTGCCCATCGAGCGTCAGGTTTGAAGCCAGAAACAGTCCCGGGATGACAATCTGCCGCGCCTCCTCGGACGCGACCGAGAGCGAGCCCGAGTAGCTTTGGCTCGAGTACGAGCCCGATCCGCTGGGCGAGCTCGTCCGGCGCCGCGCCGACGACGATGAGGACGATGATGCTACAGCCGACCGCCGCGAGCTCCGTCGGGAAGACGCCCGCGAGCTCCGCCGCGAGCTCCGCCGCGAGCTCCGCCGCGAGCCACGCGGCCGCGGTGCAAGCTGCGACCCGCCACAAGAGCTGCATGACGACGACGCCCTTCTCGACGACATCGACCGCGAGCTGCTAGAGCCAGAGCCGTAGTCATCGCTACTATCGCTGCCGCCGCCACTGCAGTCCCCGCTGCAGCCCGAGCCCGAGCTCATGCCGGACGACGCGCCCGAGCGCGAGGTGCGGGCATCCAGGCGTGCCGGCCCACCGACCCATGCCACAGCGGGATGATATCGCTCACCGTCGTTGTTGATGTCCTCGTCGTCCTCGCGGTTGTCCCACGACATCTGTGACGCCGTGCCAGACATCTGCAAAAAGCCACCCGGATCTCCGGCGGCCGACGATGAGCCGATGTTCTGCAGCGAGTGGCCAATAAGCCGCTCCGAGAGCGGGCCCTCACCCGGCCGTTGGTCTTCTCCCGCATCCGCTGCTTGATGTCAGCAACCTTTTGCTCCACGTCAATCTCACGGGCAAGAAAGTCGACCACCCGCAGCTGGTAGAACTTGCGGATGATGGCCTCGTTCTTGTGGAGCGCAAACATGCGCAGGATGCGCAAGTGGCCCTTGCACAGTTCCATCGACATTGTGTCGACCTCGGAAGAGTGGTAGAGCTTGACAAACTGCGTGTAGTGAAGCGTGACGTAGCCGTCGACCCACATCGGGTCGTGGAGCTGCGGCAAGCCGGGAATCCGGAAGAAAGCCTCAAGAAGACCAAGCATCGCCTTGAGCAGCGGTGCGCGCTTGGGCTGTTGCGCAGAGTCAAAGGTGTTGAAGACCTTGACAGCAATACCGCGCGTTGGGTGGAGGAGGAAGAGCATCGGGAGGATAAACGAGTTGAGCATGTCCGCCATCGACGCCCACGACTCCTCCCCGAGTGACGACGCCCCTGCCGTGGCGCCCCCGCCGCCAACCGGGTATACTCCGACTGCATTCTCACTATGGCTCGACGTTCCGACCGCCGCCGCCGAGAGAGAGCTTGACATCCCGCGCCTGCTCGGGCTCAGTGCCGCGCCTGTCGACACAGCGCCAGCAGATGTCACCCGCGTCAGTGGCGAGCCAGAGCCGGAGAGCGTACTCGACGAGCCGCCGTCTTTGATGCCTGGCTCCACAATGGCCGCCACCCCAGTCTTGCTACTGCCACCGCCGCGAGCCTGGGACTGGCCGCCCACCCGGGCGGTCGAGTCTGCCGATGCGCCCGGTGTGGCCGACGTCACTGACGCGTCGTCGTCGGCCGACTTGCGAACGCGCGCGAGCTTGACGCTCCTCTCCACGCGGTCGCGGAGCCGGTACATATGAGTCTCGATGACAGAGAGGATGACCGCAAAGTAGTCGACGGCCGCGCACTGGTACGAAACAAGCTTGGCCGGCGAAAACCGCTCGACCCCCGAGCCGACAACGCCCTCAGACTCGTGCACGGTGGCAAACGCGTTCTCAATCTCCGGGTCAATGAGCAGCCGACCGGCAAACGAGCGAAAGTACATCCAGTTGTCCCACTCGTCGCGCCGGCGGACCAGAATGTTGAGCAGCATCGAGTTGAGCGGGAGGTGGGTGTTGCGCGAGCCAATCTCGCCAAAGACAGCAAGGAGAGCAGTCATGGCCGGCGCCACAAAGATGCGGTCCGGAACCAGCTTGCCGAACGAGAACAGGTAGTTCTTGATGTCGAGGAGAACGTCCAGAGCAACGTCGACAACTTGCGGAACCATGACCCGCGTCCGGCAAGCCTGCATGTACATGTGCAGCATGCGAAGCTGAAGCTCGATGGCCTCCAACCGCGCCGTCGTCGCCATCCAGCCAGACCGCGACTGGTCGGCGAGGGTGCGGAGCTGGGCTGTCACTCGCCACACGAAGCGGTCGAGCTTGCGCCGCGACCGCGACTTGGCGGGCAGCGACAGCGTCGCAAACGCAGTCGGCCAGAGGACCCGGTGCTCGTACTCGACGTAGACTGAGTGCGGGCGGAGGACTCGCAGGAGGAGGTCGAGCATATGAGTGTCCTTGTGGAGGACCGGGAGCGAGACATGTCGCAGCACGTCCATGTACAGCACGTTCACCGCACGCGTCCACCTCACCGCCAGCGGCTGTGCCGCCAGAACGGCCTCGATGATCTGCAGAATGACGATGCGGAGCTGGTGAAGCGGGTGGCCCACCAGCTGGGCCAGGTGCACATCGCGCTGCTCCACACCAGGCATGTTGAACGTCCGCACCCGATCCGCCACCTGCATGTTGCGGACCCGCTCTCGCTTGTGCGCAATGAGGCCCGAGAGGTCGGCGGTCATAAACGACTGGCCGAGGTTGTGCGCGAGGAGAGTGAGCTCGGTCATAGCAGAGATCTTGGTGTCAAAGCCGAGGTCCTCAGTGTCGTGTGCTCTCCGCGTCGACGGCGGCCCGAGTGAGAGCATCGCCGACACGTCCCCGGACATCACTGTCGACTCATACATCTGAGCGTCCGAGCCCGAGACGGGCAGGCCCGAGCCCGACGTCGCCTCGGCCAGCCCTCCTTGCGAGGCGCTACTCGCCCCAGTCTCGTTGACCGCCTGCTGGCTGACCGAGGCCATGACAAGCGCCGGAAGTCGCTGCTTGGGCGTCTTGGGTTTGCGCTGATGCGGCGAGCGCGGCCGGCTGGGTGTGCCCTGCTTCGGCGTCGTCGTGAGAAACGAGATCGGAAGCGCCGGCACAATTTCGGGCGCTTGATGCATGTCGCCGAGTGACGAGCCCGACTCGGAGAGCCCGCCAGAGGCCGGTGGGCGTGGATGGGGCGAGCGCCGGCCTGAAGGGAGCTGCAGCGGCGACTGACGGGACGAGGTGGGTAGGTCGTCGCCACCGGGGCCAGTGAGGCCAAATCCGCGCATCGACGGCAGTCGAAAGTCGCCCGACACCGACTCGGTCCACATCGTCCTCACTGTACCGAGCTCAATTTCCGAACCAGGATCGGAAATTCCGTCGTGCCCGCCGGGCCCAGGGCCGCCCGGGCCGAGATGGCGCCGCGTCACAAGCATGCGCTCCGAGCTCATACCGTGCATGAGGGTGCCGACCTCGGCATAGATCCGGATGAGCATGCGAAGGTTGGTTGGCGAGGTAAAGAGCTTGAGAAATGACGGCTGGCGATCGACCATCATCTTGACAAAGCGAAAGAGGCCGAGACACGACTCGGGCTGGTAGTGAAAGACCGCGCGCTCAAAGACGTCCAGCAGTTGGACCATGAGGAGCATCGATGACGAGACAATGGTGCGGAGGTGAAGAAATACCGTTTGCGAGACGCCACGGGTGCACATGACGTCCACAAGGATGTTGATGATGCCCGAGTCGGCAAACATGGCGTGGATGTCCGGCAGTGACCAGTCGGTTACCTCGCGCACAATGTTGCCGAGCAATGTGAGCCCCATAGTGATCTTGGCCAGCGCGGGTGCCTCCAACAGCGAGCAGCAGTGCTCGAGTCGGTTGGAGATCGTCCGCGACTCTTCACCATCGGGCCCGACGCTCTGTGAGCCGCCCGCTGACAGTCCCATAGTCTCGGACAGGACGTCCAGTCGCAAGCTTGGTCGTCGCGAATAGCTTCGTTTGGGCCGCGTGGCGTCTCGCCGGGCGCGGCTGGCGCTGTCAGCAGCCGCGCCGGTGGCAAGAGCTCATGGATTGAGCCGCCCGAGTTCGGTCGCGAGGTGCGGACTGAAGGAGGCGGCGAGAGCCGGCTGCCCTGGACGCTGGCGGAAGAAGGCTTCGGGTCAACTCGGCGCTTCTTGCGCCACTCCCAAAACCGCAGCCGCGATCGCTTCGGCTCGGTCGGCGTCGTGGTGCTCGATGACGGCGGGGAGCCTCGCCCTGCCAGTGGCGACCCTGCTGGCGCCGAAAGGTACCGCGAGCTCGGCGCTCGGTGTGGCGCCAACCCAGCGCCAAAGTCTGCCGACTGATTGCTGGTGAGATTCCCCGACTGCACGCTACCCTGGGAGGGGGTGGCTGCCATGCCGTTGGAGGCCCAGAGCTTGGATATGACGTCAACGTTGCCGCGCGGAGGAATGTGCCGGTTGGACCCGCTCCCACCTGCCGGGGTAAGCGAGCTACCACCAGCCAGTGATCCCGTCGATGGGCCGCACGACAGCTGCTCGCCAGCCGAGCCCGAAGTGGCACCGGCCGGCCCGCCGCCGCCGCCGCCACCGCCACCGGTAGCCGAGGCCGACGAGTGGAGCGGGCCTACGCCCGAGACGCCCGACTCGTGGATGGCCCCACTCGGGTGAGCCACCGAGGTGTGGATACCCGAGATGGAGGCATACTGGGCCTCGCCATCGGTCACAAGCATGTAGTCGGATCGAAAGAGGCGAACGGCCTGTGCGAGGGTGGAGAAGTTGGCGTGCGACGGTGTCGCGTCTTTGGTGACAATGACAAATGCACCGATCTTCCAGTCGAAGCGGATGCGCATGGTGACAATGGCGTTACCTGCAGGAGTGCGCGGATCCCGCGCATGGAAAAGAATGAGCGACTTGAAGATGGAGATGACGTAGGCGTCTTCGGTGAGAGCAGCAAGAACGTCGGACCTCCGGGCCACCAGCGACTTGCGGAAGTGAGGATCTTGCATGAGCTCCGAGAGGAAAGATTGAAAGCATGGCATGTACTCTTGCTGTAGAATGCGCAGCTCAGATGCGACTTCTTCCGTAGCTTGGCACACAATCATGCCTTCAAACGAGGCAATGGTCAGCTTGAGCTGGAGCGCCTTCCAGAACATCGAGTCACGGAACTTGTAGGCGAGGAAGACTTCGCCACGTTTGGACGATAATGCCAGCGGAGGGACACACAGGAGCGCAGCACCGAATGGTCTTGACATGAGCACCTTTCTGGCTGCTGTTCTTGAGAGGAACCATAGTTGTACCGAAGACGTCGAAGGCTCTCCCGGCCGCGAGTTGGGTCCCACGAGCGTACCAATGACCACTCGTGAGCCCCAATTGAGAGAGTTAGACATACCGGCCCCGCCTCTTTCCTCTCCTCACCAGTTACGTTATGTCAGTGGAGGGTGAGGGGGGGGGGGGGGTGGAGGGGAAGAGGGTGGAGTGGTTCGCCTTGTGCGTGGGTAGGTGGGTGGCCGTGGTGGCTGGCCGTCTGACAGCATTGGCGTTTGCTGACGCTTGCTCATCAATAGCTGGGGAACAATAATTGATATGCGTGGGTTTCGGGGGGGGGGGGGGGGAGGGGCGTTATGGGAAAATATTTATATCGGTTGGGAGAGGGAGCAAGTGGGAGCGAGGGAGGATTGGAGGGCGAGAAGATGGAGAGCAGAGGGAGTGGAGGCAAAAGAAGACGGATGGAATGTGTAGAATGGGTGTATGGTTGCATGGTGGGGTGAGGACATGCCCAGAGATGGGTTGGTCTGTCCCCAGGGTAAATATTTTTCAACTTTGCCGAGCCACCACCGACACTTGGGGTGGGTTTTTTTTTTGCTCGGTGGGAAGGGAAGGCTGACGGCGGCACGCGCGGAGAGAGGACACGACCTCCGTTTGGGGCCATGACGGTGTGATGGGAGCATGGCGGGCACTTTGGAGCAAGACCCATCTACGCAAAGGCTAGGAGAATATGCTGGCTAGTTTGGGACAAAGAACTGCAGCTGTAGCTTCTGTGGTGGCGGTGTGTGTGATATGCCTTGCGTGCGGGCAGGGGACGACAGGCGCACTGCTGCCAACGGAGCAGCTCGAAGCAGCCTTTGCCGGCGATGGCTTTGCCATTGTGGGACGGAAGGAGTATGGGGGGTATCGCGGGCTGATGGGCGAGTCAAAGGAAGCTACTATTTTTCGGACGGGCAAGGGCAAGCCGATGCTGTATGTAGAGGGCAACGCGACGTCGTACGGTTGGCTCACGGGCTATCTCGCAAGAGAGAGTGTCGAGGCCATGGTCGGTCCGTTTCTGGAGCGCCTCCCGCTCGAGTTGGTGGCCAAGGACTATGTCATGAAGCACTGGAATGAGAGCCTGTTTGTCGAGCTGGAAAAGGTTGTCGATCACTTGCTCGGCTCGGTCTCGGTCAAGCTCTTTGACGACGCCATCGCCGCCGGCATCATTCCTCGTTCTCGGCTGGAAGAGATGGAGGGAGTGGTGGCGGGAGCGAGTGTTGCCGCCGCCGAGCGCGGGACGACGTCTCAAGTCAGCCTTGAGAAGCTCATTGCCATCAACTTTGGCTTTGATGTCATCACCGCTCGAGTGTTCTCGGGTCATTTTCTGGGCTCTGCCCTTCAGGAGCTCGCGCGCAAGCTGGGCCTCGTTCAGCTCTCCGACGACCGGTTTTACGAACGGCTGGATGCGGTAGGCGGGAGCACCAGCTCTCTTTTTGTCCCGCCAGCATTCTGCGATGCCATCGGGGTCCGCGGCCCGTGGACGGCGAGCACCGGAGAGGCGTACTTTGGACGGTCATACCAGATGGTGACGGGCAACACGCTGCAGGATGTGATCACGCTTGTTGTGTACGCGCCAGACGACGGTGGAGCGACCAAACCACTTGTCTCGGCGACAGCGCCGGGCATGGTCGGCTGTCTCGCCGGAATGAACGGCGACGGGGTGGCGATGGGGGTGGACACGATCCGGGCGCCCAATGCCAACCCCAAGCAGCCCGGGCTCAACTCGCTGCTGCTTCTTCGGTCGACGCTCGAGGTTGCTGGCGATCTGGATGAGTTGGTGTCGTACGTGGTGGACGCGCGTCGCGGTGCACCGTTCCTCTACCCAGCGTGTGACGGGAGCGGCGACTGCGCGGTGCTCGAGGCTGGGGCTTGGCTCCCGGACGGTACGCCCGAAGATCCGCTCCAGTATGTGGAGCGCAAGCTGCAAAAGGCTGGCCTTGTTCCAGACGCCGCGTTTTGACGGCGCATCCAACGCCGCCAGGCGTCTTTCGCAACGGGCTCTACGCCCGGTTCATGAACTACACCGATGCCGACTCGCCGTACCTGGCGTTCAACAAGGACCTTTTCGCCGCCGCTGGCTACCCGTACTCGGCAGAGGGCTTTGAGCTCGGGCACTTTCTCTTTCCCAACTTTACGGCCGACCTCGCGGCGCAGCCGATTCTGCGCAACAATCTGTTCTTCCCGCAGAAAGAGCAGGATCCGGACCTTGTGCTCCTCACCAACTTTGCCGTGGTGCCCGCGGACCGGCTGACGATGATGTCGTACTGGGACAACGTGTTTGCGGCGACGGGCGAAGCCATCTTTTGGCGGTACGACAAGCTCCTCGAGCTGCTCTACGCCAAGCGCGGGGCAATCGACTACGCGACGGCGATCTGGATCATGGAGTTTCTCGCGCCGGAGCGGACGCCCGGGTACTGGAAGAACGAGCTTGTGCCGGGCAACGTCAACTCGACCATCGTCGAGGGCTCGCTCACGGTCTACGATCTGGCCAACCGCGTCATCTCGTCCAAGTCGGGATACTGGGGCGACAAGTGGATCTCGCTCAAGCTGCTCAAGTACGTCGAGGTGGCGTGAGGGAGAGGACGTCTGCACGCGATGTTATTGAATGACCCGAAGCTGGCCGAGGAGAGCCGACGCCGACGGCTTTGCCGGTGGCGGGGGCGCCGACTCAGTGTCGGCGTCGGCTGGCTGGGCGGTAGGGTGGTCGATCGAGCGGGGGCGGGGCAAAAGGGCGCGACGCTTGGACGGGCGTGGGTTGGGCGCAAGAAGGATTGAGGCGTAGCCGCGAGTAGCCGGGCCGGTGGCGCTGGCGTGATACTTACGGGTGACATTGCCGCGGCGCGGGGGGTTGGCGAGCGACATGGGTAGGGCGCCGAGCGGCAGCGGGCGCCACTTTTCAACTGAGACCCGAGACCAGGCCGACGATGATGGCGCCTGCGGGCAGAGGACAGGCGCCGGGGGTTGGTCGCCGGCAGAGAGTTCAAAGATCTCGACAAGGGCGTCAAAGCGGGCGGCGAGAGTAGGCGGTAGCTGGGCGGAGGAGCGCTGGACAACACGCGAGACAAGCTTGCGGAACGAGGGGGTGGGCTGGGCGGCGGCGAGCTCGAGAAGGAGGGTGAGCGGGAGGATAGCGGCAAAGTTGGAGCGGATGAGGAGCGAGGCCCAGCGGAGAGCGCGCGAATGGGACCAATTTTGGGTCGGCGTCGAGGAGATGTGCATGAGGCAGCGGGTGAAGAGGTCCGGGATGAGCGAGGGCGCGCGGAGGCCCAGCGCGTAGAGCACGTCCCACCAAAAGACTTTGGCCGGCTTGGGCTCCGAGGCAAAGGCGGCGGTGATGACGAGGAAGCTTTCAAAGAGAATCTCACCGAGGAGGCCGGCAGTGTCCTTTTTGGCGATCTTGGTGATCATGTCAAGCTCCTGCTCGTCGAGGCCGCGGACGGCGTCGGGCGGGACGACGCCGTCGCTCAGACGCATGCGCTGGGCGCGAATCTTGGCGGCACGGGTGACCATAGCGGTCAGTCGCGTCCTCTCGGTCCCGATGGCCGCCTTTTGGGTGTTCCAGTAGCGATGAGCGAGCCAGGCGAGACCGCAGCGTGCAGCGTGGATGAGCTGCGGAAGCGCCGGCATGTGGCGATGGGTGGCCTCGTGACGGACCTCGACACAGACAATGGGAATGCCGAGCGAGTTTGCAGCGCGAGAAACGGACGCACCTGCCTCGCCCATGATGCGATCGGTAGTGCCGTTGACAAAGCGAGTGATGGCCATGGCGAGTTCCAAGCGCTGAGCCCAGCCATGACTGCCTGCGTACGCGACGGCGGCCGAGACCGACTCGGACTCCTCCTGCCGACTCATGTCAAGAGCCTGTTGATCAAGATCATCGAATTGCTCGCTATGCACATCGACATCGCCATCGTTCTTTGCATTGGTCATGGAATCATTTCCAAGCGCAGAGTCGGTAGAGGTGCCACTCAGTGGCCACTCGGCAGTGGTGAGCAGGGCGCGGAGGAGTCCAGCGGTGGACTCGACCGAGATAGGCACCGGGCCACGGGCCATCCAAGCCGAGACGACAGAGAGAGCAGAAGTGACAGAGCTCTGTTCACGGGAGAACAGTCCTTCCGAACTTCATTCCACTCGTCCCATGTCGCCCATGGTGTCGGCTCAAGCATACTGCAGTCAAGTCGTACCCCCTTCTGTTGGTCAGGAGGGGAGGGGGACGGGGGATGGACGGATGGGCGGCCGGCGGCTGGCGGCTGGTGGCCGGTGGGGCGATGGGGGATGGGAGGTGGATGGGTGATGGGTGATGGGAGGTGGATGGGTGATGGGTGATGGGAGGTGGATGGGTGATGGGTGATGGGTGATGGGAGGTGGATGGGTGATGGGTGATGGGTGATGGGAGGTGGATGGGTGATGGGTGATGGGTGATGGGAGGTGGATGGGTGATGGGTGATGGGTGATGGGAGGTGGATGGGTGGTGGGTGATGGGTAGTGGGTGATGGGTGATGGGTGATGGGTGATGGGTGATGGGTGATGGATGGGTGATGGGTGATGGGTGATGGGTGATGGATGGGTGATGGGTGATGGGAGGTGGGTGGTGGGTGATGGGTGATGGGTGATGGGAGGTGGGAGGTGGATGGGTGATGGGTGATGGGTGATGGGAGGGTGATGGGTGATGGGTGATGGGTAGTGGGTGATGGGTGATGGGTGATGGGTGATGGGTGATGGGTGATGGGTGATGGGTGATGGCCCTAGCTGATGGCCCTAGCTGATGGCCCTGGCTGGTAGCCCTGGTGGCTCATCAGCCGATCACATCCCCCTCCGCCACATTAGCCACTTCAATCTGATGTGTGTGCTTGGCTGAGCCACCGCCTGCTCACCACCACGGCCACCACCACCACCACCACCACGGCCACCACCACGGCCACCACGTGACTAGTCCCCGCCCTCTGCCCGACATGACAGACCGACTCCGCGTGGGGATAGTGACCGTGTCTGACAGTGTGAGCCAGGGAAAGAGCCGGGACGCCACGGGTGCCGGCCTCATTGCCCTCCTCTGCAGCGAGACGTGGAGTGAGAGCTTCTGTGTGGTTGGTGGCCATGAAGCGCATGTGGTATGCGATGATGAAGAGGCCATCGGAGGCCTTGTGGAGGACATGATGGCTGACGGATCGGTGGATGTGGTGGTCACTGCGGGTGGTACTGGTCCATCGCCAAGGGATGTCACACCGGAGGCTCTGGCTCCTCTCCTCGGCAAGCGCTTTCCTGGCATCGTTGCACTCATGCACATGATCTCGGCTGAGAAATCACCCTCTCCGTTTTGGTCCCTCTCTCGCCCGGTCGCCGCTCTCGCGGCTCGGTATCCCGTCCTCGTCATCGCTTTGCCAGGCTCGCCAAAGGGTGCCATCGAGTGTCTCGAGCCGGTCCTTCCCTCGCTCGTCATATCGTTGATCTCGCCCGGGGTGGTGATGGCGGTCATGGCAGCCGCATCGCCCCGCATGAGGCAAAGGCCCACGCCAAATCCGTCGCCGCAGAGAGACTCTCACACGGTCACAGCCACGGTCACGGTCACCGCCACGGTCACTCTCACTCCCATGGCCTCTCTCATGGCCACGGCCACTCGCACGGCCACTCCCATGGCCACTCCCACGGCCACTCCCATGGCCACTCCCACGGCCACGCCTCGAGTGATCCGTGCTTTGCCGCCGGGCCGTCGCGCCGCGGGTCAAAGTACCCCATGATCCCGCTGGCAGAGGCGACAAAGGCTGTGCTCGACGCTGTGGCTGGCCTCCCGTCGCCAGACACCATCACGGTTGCGCTGGAGGCCGCCGTTGGACGCGTCCTTGCCGAGGACGTCGTCGCTCATGCCGACTTTCCTCCGTTTCCGGCGTCGATGAAGGACGGCTACGCCGTGGTCGCCGCAGATGGCGCGGGCACGTATCCAGTTGTCGACGACGTTGTCGCCGGCGCCAACGAGGCTCCGCCGAGCCTGCAGCCGGGCTCGGTTGTCCGCATCACCACCGGTGCCCCGCTCCCGCCCGGCGCCGACGCCGTGGTCATGGTTGAGCGGACTGAGGTCGCCGACGCCGGGTCCGGCGATGGACCCGAGCTCGCCGTCACCATCCTCGACAGCGTCCAGGCCGGGGCCGACGTCCGGCCGCCCGGATGTGACATCGCCGCTGGCACCACCGTCCTCGCCGCAGGCACCGTCCTCACGCCGGCTGACATTGGCCTCCTCGCCACCCTCGGCGTCGTCGCCCCGCGTGTTGTCCGCGCTCCGCGCGTTGTCCTCCTTTCAACCGGCACCGAGCTTGTTGAGGCCGGCACCGAGGGTGAGCTTCCTCGCGGCCGGATCCGTGACTCGAACCGGCCCATGCTCGCCGCCCGCCTCGCCGCACTCCCGGTCGAGGTTGTTGACCTCGGCATTGTTGCCGATGACGAGGCCGCCGTCGCTGCCGCGCTCGCCCATGCCGCCGCGCACGGTGACCTGGTTCTCACCTCAGGCGGCGTCTCGATGGGCCAGAAGGACCTGGTCAAGCCGCTGCTCGCCACCATGGGCTCCATCCACTTTGGCCGCGTCTGCCTCAAACCAGGCAAGCCGACGACGTTTGCCACCTTGGCGCGGACTCCGGCGTCGGCAGACGCGGCGCCGCCTGCGCCCGGGGATGCGGTCCTCGCCTTTGCACTGCCAGGCAATCCGGTCTCGGCGCTCGTCACCTTTGAGCTCTTTGTGGCGCCAGCCCTCGCCCTTCTTGCCCTTCCGCTCGCGACACGAACCGCAGCCATAGCCGCAGCAGGCGTCCGCGATCCGTCGGCGCCCGCTCTCATGCCGGGCCTTGCGCTTGCTGGCGCCGTCCTCGGCCACGCCATCGCGTGCGACCCGGCACGCCCCGAATTTCATCGGGTTGTGTTGCAGTGGTCGGCGCGGGAAAGTGCCTTTGTCGCCAACTCGACCGGTGTGCAGCGCTCATCGCGTCTCGCCTCAGCATCAGGCGCCTCTGCCCTCGCCTTTATCCCGCAGCAGTCCGAGCCGCTGGCCAAGGGCGCGGCCGTCGATGTTGTTCTCCTTTAACCCTTAACGGTACGGTCGTTCGGACGCGTTGTCGCGCGTCTCAAAGTGAACAACGCGATGATGCTTGATTTCCAGGCTACCGGCAGACGCTGCGCGACGCCTACTTGGCCTATGGCTTGATGGGAGGCGCGCCTGTACGTGATGGCGGCCAACACGTAGACGCCCGCCTGAAGGATACCCGACCTGGGAGCATGGGCGAGGTGCGCGAGGTGCCGTACGGCGCCGCTCTTCCGGATCGGCGGGCGCGAGCGCCAAGTCGAGCACCGAGTTGATGTCGAGGACGCTCGCGGCGCCGCTCATGACGGCCCTGACGTCGTGCGCCGTGAGCGTGCGCATCATAGCCGTTACAGCTGTCGTCTTCTCGCGCCCGGAGTGGTCCTCGGCGTGCGCCAACTTGTTGACGTTCTCGGCGGTCATGAGCGCGGCGCGCGCCACCTCGACCTCGGCCTTGGCATCAGCAAACTTCTCTCGCACCCTCTTCAGAATTTAAACATAGTTATTGCGGTGCCATTAGCGACGAGGCCATGGCATACGCGGCAGAGGCGGTCGAGTCAAGCAGGTGAGCGCGCTTTGCTGCTGGCATGCCAACGCCCGGCATCAAAACGCCGCCGGACTGATCGAGAGTCCGCTTGGCACCGACGGCGGGGTATGGTGCCGACGGCAGCGGGTTGGACGGCAGCGGGATGCTTGCCGGGTGCTGCGACATGATCGAGAGGTTGTAGTTGGGGTGCATGTGCTGCTGGTGGTGGTTGTGCAGCTGGAGAGCGTGAGCATGTGCGGCCTGGTTCTGGACACCAAGGCCAGCCTGGATCTGCATGTGCTGCTGAGCTTGGAACTGAGGCGGGGAGTGCGCCTGAGTGCGAGCCTGGGCTTGGGCCTGGAGCTGGGCCTGGACTTGAGCCTGGGCCTGCTGCAGCAACTGCAATTGTAGCAGCTGCTGCTGCTGCTGCTGCTGCATGCGGTACTGCATATTGGCCTGCTGCTGCGCCTGCTGGGCTTGTTGTGCCTGCTGAGCTTGCAGCTGCTGGTAGTACACCTGAGCGTTGGCGGCCTGCTGAGCCTGCGCAGGCAATGCGGAAGACATCGGCATCTGCGGGTTCATCGAGGAGGCGGACAGGTGCACCCCTGCGACCGAGAAGGGTGAAGCAGACGAGAGGGCCGACGCGTGGCCCGTGGCACTGTGGTGGGCAGAGCGTGAATGCGGTGGCGAATGAGAGTGCTTGCCACGGTAGAGCACATGTTCCTTGACGACATGCTGCTTGGTCGTCTCATCAAACTCCTTGGAGAGGATTTCGACCTGCTTCTTGGCCTTGCACTCGGTATTTGAGCACTTGTAGTAGGCGCGTGGGAACGCGTGGCCCTTAACGTGCTTCTGGCCGTACTTGCGCCATTTGTAGCCGTCGTCGAGCGGGCGGCGCGTTGACTTGCCGTCATCCTCAGCCATCGAGTGGGTATGGACGACCGACGACGAATCGGCCGGATACGGAGAGGGGATGGCAGGCGTGGCAAGGGAGAGAGGAGAAATGAGCGTCATCGCACCGATGCCTGGGGAGACCATCGGCGAGACAAGCGGCGAAGGAATGCCCATGGTTGCGCCAAACTGCATCGGCGAGATCATGTTGACAGCACGCGACATGCTCATCGGCGCTGCTGGAAGCTGCGAGAGCGCCGCGTTCGAGTTTTGCGCCGCGCGCAAAGAGCTGGAGGGCATGGCGACCACAACACTGAGATCGGGGCCTTCATCGCTGGTCCGAGCATCTTCTGACGAGCTCAAACGCGACGAGGCCGAGGTTGATTGCGGCCTCGGCGAGGTTGAGCTACACGTCGCCGAGCCAGCCGATGCGGGAGTACCCATGGAAAGGAGCGACTTGACCGCCACCGCAGGCGACGGCTCAGCCGATCGGCAATCGGCCACGACGGGCGTGGGCGATGTGGACGAGGTCGAGGTTGACACGGAGAGGCCTGGCATCTCGTGCGGGGAGTTAATGGGCGAGTGACGTTTGTGTTCCGCTCGGATCAATTGCCTAAAACAATAATGCCGCACCAACATGTCACAAACGTTTTGGGTGAGTGCGGGGCAAGATGGCAGGAACGCTCCCCAAAGGCGGGGAATGCGGAGGAAAAGCCCCCTTGAGTGTGGCAAGCTCACAACGGCTAAGGACACCAGCTGAGGGCATAACACGCACAAGGCCACATATCCCTGGGAGGCATGGTCATACCGGCCATGGCAGGTCAAGTCGTGACCTGACGTTGACCAAATTGCCACACGCTATGGTTCAAGCAAACGTTTGGCTTGCACAATGCATTGGCCAGATGCGACCAGCCGGCGATACGGGTCCTCACCGAGGAAACATGCATCTACCAAGTACAAATGATAAAGCGGAGAAGGGGGAGCGTGTGGGGAGGTGATGCGAACAAGTTGGGAGAAATAGGCATCTGCGTACTGAGTGGGTATGTAATTGGTTGGCAAGGAGAGTGTCACCGCACGTGCAGACTGGCGCGAGCGAGGTGTGGTCTCGACTCGCCAAAAGACTGTCTCATCGACAGGTAAATTGTTTTCCGCAAGCTTCTTGACCACTTTCACGAACACCCGTGTATCTGAGCCGCACTTTTTGCGCCGCGTCTGACCCACAATGCGGACGTTTTGCTGGGCTGGGCTGCGTTCGCTTGAGCGCATATGGAAGAGCCCACATGGGCACCATTTAGACCTGCGGTTGCCAAACGGACATGGTTGTCACCAGATCCGCCGCCAGCTTACGTGAGTCAACGTCGTTGGCTTGCGTTGTTGCCGTGGATGCGGTCAATATGTGGTCAATTACGCACTGATTTGGATGCGGGTTGCGAGCAGGAGCCCGCTGCGGGACTAACAACCCGCAATGCGACGCACAGCAGATCGTGAAAATGCCGCACCGATAGCTGTAACGCAAGAAGAGGTGCACGTTGGAGGCCTTGTGGAGGTAGGCGACAGTGGAGATCCGCACGCGTGCGAGGGAGGGCAGCGGTATGACGGACTCGACTGCCTGTCACTCGCGAGGATTTTGACTATCAAAGATGCCACCACCTGCCTGCCAATACCACGAGGATGCCGTATCAGTGCAGAGCTCAGTGTGGCGCGGACTCGGGTCAAGCACTTGCGCCCATGGCCCATCTGTCGAGCCACACCCCACTACGAGTCGCAATTGGCTGCGACTTGATGACTCGGTACTTACAAGCCTCACGTGCACGGCCAGCGCTGGTGCTGGTGTTGGCGCTGGCGATGGCGGCGGCGGCGGCGGCCGGGAAGGATACGGCGGGGGGCGCGAGCAGGGCGGTGCCGAGAGGGTGGAATGGGACCGGGCGCAAGTACGTGGTGGAACAGGTGGCATCGAACCACACGCTGGTAGCGGCAGCGCTGGCGCAGCGCGGGTGGCTGCCGTGTCCGCCGCGGCGGTTCGGGCGCGGCTGCCGGGCGGCGGCGCTCAAGTGGACGTGGTCGCCGGAGCGGTTTGCCAGCGAGCCGGAGGGGCGGGTGCTGAACCACTTCCACACTGCTGCTGTGATGACCCACAAGGACTTGCTGGCCGAGGCCCTGCTTGCCACCCACGGGGAGGACGCTGCGTGGGAGCTGCTGCCGCGGTCGTACATTGTCCGCGCCCCGCTCCCGACGGGCGAGGATGACGACGAGGGGAGCGTCAACGGCGAGACGGTCGACGACGACGGCGAGGCGCTGCTGGCTGCGCTGACGGGGCCCGATGCTACCGCTACTACCGACGACCCGCTGAGCGGCGACTCTTGCTTGGCCGGAGCATCCGTGCCGGACGTAGCCGGCGGTGGCGAGGTGCGGGCCGATGGCGGCGGCGACGGCGGAGGTGCCGAGCGCAAGGTGTGGATTGTCAAGCCTGCGGCGGCGGCGCGAGGGGTGGGCATCGAGCTGTTTGACGACGGCGCGGCGCTGGTGGAGTTTGTCAACCGTGAGTTTGCGCGGTCGCACGCCGAAGCAGCGTTTGTGGTGCAGGAGTACGTGGGCAACCCGCTGGTCATCCGCGGCAAGAAGTTTGACATCCGCCAGTTTGTCCTCGTCACCTCGCTCAACCCGCTGACGGTCTTTGTGCTCGACGACGCGTACCTGCGGTTCTCGACTGAAGACTACACGCTCGACAACCTCGACGACCGGTTTATCCACCTCACCAACCACCAGGTGCAGAAGGACTCGGCATCGTACGCATCGTCGGGCATTCCGGGCAACCAGTGGTCGCTTGCCCAACTCACAGCGCATCTGGCGGCCGAGTATCCGGACACGCCGCAGCTCTCACCAACAGCGCTGCGAGCCAACATGATTGATCTAGTGGTGAAGACGCTCGACGCGTGGGGCCCGGACGGCCACCGCGAGCGGTCGTTCGAGCTCCTTGGTTTTGACGTCCTCGTCGACGAGACCGGCAAACTCTGGCTCCTCGAAGTCAACATCTCGCCGGGCCTGCACTTGACGACCGACATAGTGCGGGCTCACCACAGCCATGCCATCGAGTCGCTGTTCCAGGTTGTGCTCGACGATTCGCAGACCGCCTTTCCGTCGCCGTCCGCCCACGCCAGCCTCTCGCCTGACGAACGCGCCGCCGCCGCCGCCGTCCGCGCCGCCGCCATCCTGCCGTGCTCGTCGGCAACTTCCTCGCCGCTGCCGCCGTGCGAGATCAAGGTCGGCGGGTGGGAGCTAGTCCGCCGCGGCGAGTACGACGCCGCCGCCGCTACTGCTGCCAGCGGCGCCTTTGCTGAGTTTCAGGCGAGCAGCGCGTCGCTCTCCATCTCCTCGATGAGCTAAGAACAGAGTTTATGTGTGGAAGTGGTGGGAGTTGTGGAGGTGGAGGGGGAGGAGGGGAGTGTGAACCGTCGACGCGCAGCAGGCAGGCGTGGCCCGGTGATGCAGTCAGAAGCCAGAGGCCTGCCGCCCACGCATCGGCGGCGGGGCGGACGGCGGTCGTGCCAGGCGACCGACGGCTACGACGGCGGGGCGGCGGCGCGACCCGGCTGGACTGACGGGTAGGCCGGCGCCGACGGCTGAGTAAAGTACGTGGTGACCTTCTCGATAAGCATGCCAACGCCCTCAAAAACGCCGAGGACGGCGCCGCCCGCGATGCCGTGCTGCAGCGCCTTGCGCGGGCCCTGGCGAATGGCAAGGAGGGCGCCGGTGAGGGCGCCGGCGGCCACCGGGTTGAAATGGTCCTCCTTGCCGCGGGCGCCGGCAATGGCGCAGTCGAACGAGGAGAACAGAGCCATCCAGATGGCAAAGGCCCCGCCGGTCACCGCAGCACGGTTCTTCACCGCCGCCACCATTCCGGCCATCCGCATGCCCTATCTCAACATAGCCAGTCGCCCTGTGGCGTGAGTGTGCGCCCGCTGCCCCCCCCCCCCCCTGTCGGCCCCCCTCCTTCTCCCTCCAATAACCGCCCGATCAAGCGGCGATCCGCAGCCGCCGGCATGACGCGGCAGAGGCTGGCACGTACCTTGGGCGCTGCGCGCGCGCCCTTGAAGGCATGGAATGCCCCAGAGCCGATGGTGCCCATGGCAAAGGCCGACCCAATGTCGTCAAGGATGCGGTACGGGCACGGGTCTCTTCCGTCCATGGTGGTGCAGGCGTGGAGTGGTGTGGCTTGTCGGGGGCGAGCGAGTGGGCGGTGATGGCTGGCGGGTGGCTGGCAACAGAGTAAGTAGGCGGCCGGCGGTCGGCGGCCGGAGGTCGGCAGCTAGAGAGAAGAGACGACGGTGGCAAGTTTACAGATATGGCCATCGGCACCGGGGCCGCAACTAATCCGAGCGGGCGGAACGGGTTTGGAGGGGGTGGAACGGACGTGGGACGGGGCTGTGGTACGTAGCAGCGATGAACAGCTATCACGACGGCAGCGCAGTCGATTGGTTGGTGGCGCTGGGCTCAGGCTCGGACTCGGGCTCAGACAGAGCGTAGTGGAGAGTGAGCGAGTACTCGAGGTTGTCCCAGTCCCAGTTGGTGAAGAACTTGTCGGGCGCGCGATCGAGCGGGCGGTTGGGGATCTTGACGGCGACGTTGGAGTATGGGTCTGCGGCAAAGACCAGATAGAGGTAGTCTTTGTCGGGCGCCTCATGCTTCTGCTCGTACGCCGACATGAACTGGTGCCGCGGCTGGATGCCGTCGGCAATCTCCGGGTAAGCGATCGAGATGCGTAGGCCGACCTGTTGAGTCTCGGGATCGAGCAGCCGCTCGACGGCGTGGTGCGGGACGCCGATGGTGGCCCGCCGCGGCGCGCGCCGCCCACCCGCGGCCGCCGCAGGCTGTGGCAGCGGCGCCGCCTCGGCCGCCTGCGCCTGCCGCGCCTGCCGCTTGGCGAGGTTCTGCCGGTGCTTGCGGGCCTGGGTGTGCGCGAGATACGAGCCCTCGTTCGAGTGGTGTGTGAGGCAGAGCGAGCACTCGTAGTGCCCATGGTGGGTGCGAGTGAAGAACGGGTCCTGAGCGCAGAAGGGGGAGGGGGGGGAGGGGAGCGTGAGTGGTTAGGAAGGGTGGGGGAGGGGAGGTGGGGGGGGGGGGGGAAGGGGGGAGGGAAGGAGGAGGGTAGACGTACCGACTTGAGGTCAATGGTTGTGAGTGCGAGCGCACGGATACGTTCTCTGCGTGCACGGTTGGCGACCGAGGCCGAGGCAACTGCACCCGAGCCGGTCTTGCCCTGGGCTTGGTCCATGGGGGGGAGTGGAGAGAGGGGTGGGGGAGGAGAGGCAGGGTGCCGGGTGGCGGGCTTCGGATCGCGACGAGGTGAGCTGAAGCCACCGACCCAACACCGCGTTTTCGAGCGGTTGGAAGCGGATTCATTTCCGAGCGCATTGAGGAGAGCGTTCTTGATAGCGGTCTGGGAGCGGTCTCGCAGTGGTTCCATGGGGTCGCTGTGTGTGCGTGTGTAGGGGGGGGGTACACCGCTGGCTGTACTGGCCACGGCAGTGGTGCAGATCGTGTTTTACTTGGCCATGAGGCCGCCGTCATGCTTGGGTGACTTGAAATCGAATCAAAGTTAATCATAGTTGTCATGTGCATCCCTGTACCCCCCCCCCCCGCCGCCGCCATGCCCGGGACAGACGTCACCCTGCCGTCCACACCACCCCTTCCCGACCGATGCACAAGCAGATGCTCTCAGAGGCACATCCTTACTACGGATAAGACGAAGGGATACTAGCCTCTCGTCTTATGCATGCGTACCGTTGATATGCCCAAGCCCCCGACCCGAAAACGACAGCGACCACATTGAGCACGTTTAAAGGGATATAAATATATATAAATATATGGATTTAGAATATATGAATATATGTGTGGGAAATAGAAAACTTTAATTGTTAAAATCTTTGTAATATTTATATGTTATTTTGGATCCAAATGTCATTGGTAAAGATTTCTACGGTCTGCTGCACCCGATCCCCACTCGCGTTCACAGAGAACCTGGTCCTGTCTTGCTACGCACTACTTACAGCATACAACAGATAGTGCATGTCCTGTTAGCTGCTTTCCTCCCGCTCTTGACACTCTAGCTCTCTCACAGCACTCACAATCTTCCACAATATTTTCCCTTGCAACCGGCCGTCAGACTTGCCGAGTCGGGCACGGGCAACCAACCGCTACCACCCACGTGTCTCGCGCACAACTGCTCTTCAAGCTGCAAACACCGTACTAACACAGCGTAGTTTTACCACGGCAGAGTCGGCTCACGATGACGACGAAGCAGAGTACGAGGCGGTCGAGTAGCGTGTGGTGAACGAGTTGCCGGACGACGAGGATGAGGTGAGAGAGGACATCGAGGGCGCGCCGGTCTCGGTGAGGTGCGGAGCCAGGAGCGGCTTGGTCTCGCGCGGTGCCGGGCCGCAGCAGCGGAAAGCAACAAGGCGCGAGGCAAAGCGGAGCCACTCGGTGTGCGAGTCGCCGCGGTGGGAGCGGGCGCCCGAGATGACGCCAAGGAAGCGCTTACGCTCGGCCTTGGGCAGAGTGAGGAAGCCGTCAAACTCGGAGGCGTGCGGGACCGAGTCAATCCACGAGCCCATGGGGGTAACAATGGTGTGCTCGGTAAGGTCGCCGAGGGTGGTGCCGAGGCGGACGGCGGTGGCCGAGTAGCGCGACGAATCGTCGGACGAAGGGGCCGACTCCTCGTCGGTGTGCGACGACGGGCCGAGCGGTCGTACGAGAGCGAGTCGATGTCCTCAGCCGTTCCCGGGCAGCACGCAAAGAGCGAGGTCGGGTGGGCACGGGCATGGCGGAGCTTGCGGCGGGTCTCGGGATCGTCGACATGAATCCACAAGTAGACGTTGATCTTCTCGTCGGCATCGTAGGCGGTGCATCCCATACGGAGATCGCCGGGGAGGATGGCGTGACCCGAGACGGCGCAGACACAGTGGCGCTGGGCAATGTCGACACGCCAGAGGCCGACGCCCGCCGGCGAGTCGTCCATGATGTCGGGCATGAGCGTGTGGCCACGCGAGACAAGCTTCTCAGCTGCGGCGCGGATAGAGCGGACATGGAGGAACTGCTGGGTCCGAAGGAACTGGATGGCCACCTCGTTGAGCGCAGTGAGGGCGGTGACGTCGTGGACAGCGGCGTGGGTGAGGTCGATAATGACGTGCTCCAGCTCGGTGTGCTGCTCCAGCTCGAGGTCGACGATGCGCTGGTGGAGGGCGCGGCCCGAGCCGAAGAACATGGGCCCAAGAATGGAGATGTGGGCAACAGGCCCGCCGGTGAGGCTCGACTTGGAGACCTGAACCGAGGCCTTCAGCTCGCGGGTCGAGTGCCACGCGTAGATGAGCGCCGAGAGAACGACACCGCAGAAGATGCCAATGGCAACGTCGACAAAGATGGTGACGAGGGTAACAACGGCAATGATGACGAGGTCGGTCGTCGGCACACGGCGGTTGACAAAGAGATCCGCAGTCCGAAGATGCCAGGTGTGGACAACAACGCCAAACATGATGCCGGCAAGGCCGCCGAGCGGAATGCGCTCCACAACCGGGTGCGCAAACAGCATCGAGGCCAGGAGCAGGAGCGACGAGACAAAGCCCGAGAGCCTGCCCGACGAGCCGCCCAGAACGTTGATGAGGGACTGGCCCACAAGCGGGTCGCCGCCCATCGAGCCCAGAAAGCCGGCTACAATGTTGGCCACGCCCTGCGCCGTCAGCTCGCGCATGTCGTTCGACCGCCGTTTGACAATCATGCCCACAATGTTGGCCGTCATGATGCCCTCCACAAAGATGACCGCTGCATACCGCAAAGAGTGCGGGAGAATAAGCACAAACGTGTCCCACGTGTACTCTACGTCCGGGAGGCCAAACGAAGGCAGGTCGCCCGAGACAGGCGTGATGTCGCCCACCTGCCGCGTCCCCAGCTCAAACACATGCTCGATGAAGAGCGCGCTGAGAATGGCGACCAGCGTCGCAGGGAACCGCTTCGTGACAAACGGAAAGAGCATGACAATGGCAAAGGCAATTGCGCAGTGCATCAGCGTCAATGCCAGCTTGCTCCCGCTCACGTAGCTCCCATCGTCGTCCTCAAAGTTGGGCAGCTGCGAGAGGCCGATGACCACCGCCAGACCGTTGACAAAGCCCACAAAGACCGGGAACGAGACTAGCTGCATGAAAGCCGAGACCCGGAGGAGCGCAACCACAATGAGGATCGGCCCAAGCAGAATCGTTGCCGCATACAGATACTGCTCGCCATCCGACTCAACAATGAGCGCCTGAATGACAGCGAGCGCGCCCGTCGTGCCCGAGATCATCCCGGGCTGCCCGCCAAACACAGACGTGATGAGCCCGATGATGAACGAGGTCCGGATGCCGATGAGCGGGTTGACTCCCGCAATGATACTGAAGGCAATCGACTCAGGCAGCATCGCCATCGAGACCGCCAGCCCGTTGAACAGGTCCAGCCAGAACGCCGCCCATGTTGTGATCCAGTGCTCGCGCCGGAGGAAGGCCTCCACTTTGTCAACCACCGCCATCTGACCGCCGCATCCACCCGCTCCCCGTCAGTCTGTCCACCCTGTCGGCTTGCTCCCTCCCCCCTGCTCTTCTCCACTGCGGCCCTGGCCATGTTTCGCCCTCACCCGCCCTCGCCTGCCCCTTCCCGCGCCTTGCCTGTCCCGCCCCCGGGATGGATGAAAACGGCGCGATCCCTCTCCCGCTGCTGACCCGCCACATACCTCGATGCGAATGAGCGACAAGTGACCGCACCTCCCACTCCCTCCGCTCCCCGCCCCGACCACCTTCCACCGCGCAGTACCACGCAAAGCTGCTGCACTGCAGCAGTGCAGCGCAGCGCAGGAGTACTTCTGTGACAGGGCGTGCCGCCAGCCCATCGGCTCTCGCAACTCAGGCATGCGGCCCAGTGGCGGCAGTCGGAACGGATGCTCGCGATGGTACTGCAGGCGCAGTCTCTCTTGGAGCGACCTACGGGCTCGCCACCATCTTTGTCGATGAGATCTCATCGTTTGAGCCAATGGCATAGTAGCTGGGACCATGCACGAGCTGCCAACCTCGTGCTCACTGGGGCACCACGGTCACCGACGCACGACGCATGGTTCGTCGGCTGGCGAGCGACATTCGCACAACTTCTGCGGCCATCGAGTCATTCGGAGCCAATGTCATCGGCCGCGGGTCGACACCTTCAACTTTCTCATCTCGTACTACGAGGATGGTGTCGAGCACAAGCAGACGATCCGCTTGATACGCGACGACGAGTCGCTCGAGATCTACGACGACTCTGCTGGTGACCGGGCACTGAAGATGGTTGGATGGTCGGAGCAGGAGAGCCAGTGAAAGCAGTGGAGCTTTGACCATGGCCGATCTTGCCAGTGGGCCGGAAGAGCTCGGCAGTGGCGCTGCTGCCTCTCCGCCCTCTCGCCAGTTTGTCGAGCTCGACCACAACGCCGCCCTGGGAATGTTTAGCCGCGTTGATGACCTGCAAGCTGCTACGCAAAAGGCTGTGCGTGACATCATCCAATCTCTCTGGTCCCTACTCTACAACTGTAGCGTCGCCCTCGGACGGGCCAGGCTCATCTGCGCGCCGTCGCACTCGGAACGTGGTGCTCAACGAGTTTCATCCCATCACACTTTCCGGCCAGCCATAGCAAGTGGCTATACATGAGCGATCGCATCACGACCGTCGTGCACGCCATCATCGAGTGGCGCGCAGGCTTCACGGCCAAGTACGCCGTCGGTACAAGGACAAAGAGATAGCACCCGCCTGCAGCTGCAGCGCCCCGCGCTCACCGAGCAATACCGCGTTGAGCTATCTCAACACCCTCTGGTGCAGCAATCGCTTACTTTACCGTGTTGTACAGCAATGCGAGAATCATTCAGACAAGGGTCCACTATCGCGTCTGGGTCGACATCCTACCTCGCCGCAGACAGCAAGACTTGCTACGCCAATTCAGCCAGGACTTCAACTTCTTCACCTAAATCACGGAGCCGCATCATTCCCTCTTCCACTTGCTTGCAGGCTCATCCATCATCGCCCGCGACCAACGCGGGCTACGTCCTCGCCCGGATCGGACCGATTCGGATCGGGAGTCTCTCGCTGACGTTGCGCTCCCTTAGTTGTAGAACATCTCAAAGTTGAACCCGTCGGGAATCTCGTAGTCGCCGAGTGTGATGTGGTCCTTGTATACTCGGTCGGCCTTCTGCAGGCGGATGCGCTCCGGCTGCAGGCCCGTCTGCGACGCAATCATCAGCTTGAGCTCGCCGACCGTGTCGTCGTCGTTCATGAGCACCGCCAGCTTGGTCCCGAGCCGGTCATTGACAAACACCTCGAGCATGCACGTGCGTATGTGTGTGTGTGTAAAGTATTTCGTGTCTATGGGGGGAGTGGGGTGGCTGTAGCGGTGGTTATGGCTATGGCCGTGGACGTGGCCGTGGTTCGACGCTGTCGCTCACCTTGAGAGCCAGACTCTGGGACCGGCATCGCGTGGCCGGGCTCGCATAGGCAGCAGCAGCAGGGGACGGAACCTCGGGTGGCGGCGGAGAGATTGGCGGCAAGGGCATCGTGAAACAGCCCACCACTCCCCCCTAGCGACTACACATATATGTAGTCGCTGGGGGGCAGTGGTGGGCTGTTTCACATCGTGGCCAGCGGCAGCAGCAAGAACGGCGGCATCGAGCTCGCCGTCGTCGCGGCCGATGGTGGTGGCAGTTGGATCGGCGTTGCAGGCGAGCAGTAGCTCGGCTATAGCATCGTAGCCCACGTGGGCGGCAAGGAGAAGCGGGTGAGAGTGGGCCCAGTCGTCGCCGCGGGCGCGGGACTCGACATCGACCGCTACCGCAACGCTCAGTCCCTGGCACCTGCTGGCTGTCCTAGCCGCAGACTCAGACCAGCCGCATCGGCGGCTCCGCAAGCCACGCCAGGGGCAGGAGCAGCAGCAGCAGCTCCGGCGGCCGGCTCACACGAGCCCCAAGTGGCGCAATCCGTGCTGCCTGGCGGTGGAGTCGCTTTCCGCTCTAAAAACATCCTTGCACACGTTAGCCAGGTCGCATACCACCGACCCGCTCCGATGCCAGTCAGGCCGAGCAGGCCCACCACGACCATCCATGAGCAACTTGCGGCTCACGGTATGGTGTGTAGGGCGGTGAAGAAGGGCAGGGGCGAGGTCGGCTCCCTCTGTAGATGTGCATCCGTGCCCTGGTGGCGCGCGGAGCAAGCGCGTGCCGCCTCGTTTGCTCCTTTGCTCCTTTGCTAAAAGTACGTGCCGCAGGAGCCAATTTGCCGGCCACTTGACGCCTGTCCCGCCGGCATGAGCCCTCTCCCGCATCGGCGCCCACGGGCACGACGATGGCGAGGCGAAGCGATTGTTGCAGGCATAGTGGCTGTGTTCGCCCTTGTTGTGGCTGCGGGCGGGGCCGAGGTCTGGCTCTCGGAGCTTCACTACGATAACGGCGGGCTCGACGTGAACGAAGGTGTCGAGGTGACGGCGACGGCCGGCACGCTCATGAACGGCTACAAGGTGGCGATGTACAACCAGCTCGGCGATGTCTACGGCTCGGTCACCCTGCCTGCGAGCACCATGCCCGACGAGGGCGGATCGGGATACGGCGCCATGTGGGTCGCCTACGCGGGGCTGCAGAATGGCCCACAGGACGGCATCGCCCTCGTCCGCATCGCAGACTCGGCCGTCCTCCAGTTTGTGTCATGGGGTGGGACGACGACCGGCACCGCCGGCGAGGCATCGGGCCTCACCTCGCACGACATCGGCGCTGTCGAGGGCTCCACCACTGCAGAAACCTCATCGCTCGGCCACGCAGGCATCGGCGTCGCCGCTGTACTCGCCTCGCCATGGTCCGTCTACGCCCCCGCCTCCCCCGCCGCCATCAACTTTGCTCCGGCGGGCCCAGCATCGCCGCCACCTCCTTCTCCTCCCCCACCGCCGCCTCCCTCACCGCCGCCTCCGCCACCCTCACCGCCGCCGCCGCCATCGCCGCCGCCATCACCGCCTCCATTGCCGCCTCCCTCACCTCCGCCTCCGCCTCCGTCACCGCCGCCGCAGCCATCGCCGCCACCATCGCCCCCACCTTCACCTCCCTTTCCTCCCTCTCCTTCTCCCCCTCCGTCCCCACCGCCGTCGCCGCCACCTTTGCCCGCGTGCGGCGACGGCATTCTCCAGCGTCCGGCTGAGCAATGCGACGACGGCAACGATGAGGCGGGTGATGGCTGCTCGGCCTCGTGCGCGATTGAGGGTGGCTATGCATGCCTGACGCCCGGAACGCCGTGCACGACGTGCACCGAGCATTCCAACGGTATGGACTGCGCCGGCACTTGCGGCGGCGTGGCATACATCGACAAGTGCGGTGAGTGCGTCGGCGGCACAACCGGGCGCGGGCCAGGCGCCTCGCGCGATGAGTGCGGCGTGTGCTTTGGCGACAACGCGGCCAAAGATGCGTGTGGCATGTGCTTTGGCCATGACGCGGCGCTCGACGGCTGCGGCGTGTGCTTTGGCGACAACTCGACGTGCGCCGGATGCGACGGTATTCCGCATTCGGGCGCGGTCCGCGACGTTTGCGGTGTGTGCGCAGGCGATGGCTCGACTTGCGTTGGCTGCGACGGTGTGCCCATTCCGTCGGGTGGCGCCGTGTATGATGCTTGCGGCGTGTGCGGCGGCAACGCGACCGTCTGCCGATTCGGCTGCGACGGCGTCTACGCCTCGGGCGTCCACTTTGACTGCCACGGCGTGTGCGGCGGCAGCGGCATTGTCGACGACTGCGGCATGTGCGCCGGCGGGAATGTCTCGACGCCTCTTGCATTCAACTACCATCGTGACAGTTGCGGCGTGTGCTTTGGTCAGGACCTGACCTGCACCACATGCGCGTCGGGCGTTCTTGACGTGTGCGGTGTGTGCGACGGCGACAACTCGACGTGCGCCGGCTGTGATGGCGTGCCTATCGCCCTCGGCGGTGCCGTTGTTGACCTCTGCGGCATGTGCGGCGGTGATAGCTCGTCGTGTGAGGCCGGCTGCGACGGAGTGCCCAACTCGGGCGTTAGCTACGACTGCGCCGGCGAGTGCGGCGGCTTGGCAGCTATCGACAGCTGCGGCATGTGCTACGGACCGGCTCTGCTCGTCACGACCGCAGAAGTGTTCCTCGATCAGTGCGGCGTTTGCTTTGGCGGCAATGCCGGACTAGACAGTTGTGGCAAGTGCCACCGCTCCAACGCCGATCGCGATGAGTGTGGCGTGTGCTTTGGCAATAATGCTGCCAAGGATGTGTGCGGTGAGTGCTTCGGCTCCGGCCTTGCTCTCGATGTATGCGGCGAGTGCCGCGGGAACGGGACGACGTGTCTTGGTTGCGACGGAGTGCCCAACTCGGGGCTTGTCTCCAACGAGTGCGGCATCTGCGCGCTGCCGGGCGTCGCCTGCCCTGTGACAAGATCCAAGACAAAGGCCTGGCGCAACTCGCAGTGGGCCGGCATCGCCATGGGCTCCTCGCTCTTACTCTTTCTCATCATCGGTGGCGTCCTCCTCGCCGTCTTCCTCCGGCGCAAGCGCACCGTCCGCATCCTCGCCTACCAGGCCAAGCTCGAGTCCGAGGCGCCGAGCGGCAAGCTGGCCATCGTCACCTCGGACATCCAGGACTCGACTGCGTTGTGGGAGGCCGAGCCTGATCGGATGGCCGACGTCCTCGACATGCACAACGATCTGATGCGCCGCGCCATCGAAAAGTCCGGCGGGTACGAGTTCAAGACCGAGGGCGATGCGTTCTTTGTCGTCTTTGACGCCGTCACCGACGCTGCCGCCTATGCTGTCGACGTCCAGCGTCAGCTTCTCGCCGCAGACTGGCCCGAGTGGGTGGGCGATACTGGTGGCTTTCCGGCCGTACCTTGCTACAGCTCTAACGCCAGCCTGTCGATGTCATCGCTTGGCGACGCGCTGCTGTGGCGCGGCATCCGGGTCCGCCTCGGCATCCACTATGCCGAGCCGGAGCGGGTCTTTGAGAAGCGCGCAAACCGGGTTCAGTACATCGGGCCGGCTATCAAGATGACAACCATGGTCGGTGACGTCGCCAACGGCGGCCAGATCCTGGCCTCGCGCAGCGTAGTCGACGAGCTGCTGGCGTGCGAGGCTCCCGTCCAGCAAGCGTCCTCGGCTGGCTACGGCCTCGCGCCGTTTGCACGCGCCTCGTTTGGAGCCTTTCATGACAGCGTTGAACTGTGGCATGTCGCGCCGCATGGTCTGGAGCAGCGCATCCCAACATTCACTTTTGACCGCCTCGAGCGCGAAGCTGATGTTGTGACTGCGCTGATACCGGAGCCCGAAGTCATGTCGCGCATCCGCAACGCGAACCTTGCGATCTTGCCACTCCCCAACGCGCCGGCAGCCGCCATCTGCTCGGGCACCTCGGCTGCGCCGTCCCTCACCATCGATACCTCGAGCAGCTACCGGCCCAGAACTGATGCCTCGCCGCGGGTCCGCAAGGCAAGCATGGGCCCGGCGCGGAGCATGCGTCGGTCGCGCGCCAACTCGGTGACGGTCGCCATGGTGGGTTCGCTGCAATCCGATGCCACTGGCAAGAAAATGGTGTCCTCGCCACGCACCGCCGCTATTCGGCGCAACATCTCGCGGCAACGCTCATCGTCTCGTGGCTCGGTCGTGTCGCGAACTTCCGTCTGCAGCTCCGAATCCCACGACGACCTGGGCTCGGGCTCGGGCAGCCCGAGATCGTTCCGGCGAACGACCAGCCGCAGCCGTCGCGTTGGGCCACTCCGAGCCCACGCCCACTCGCACTCGGGATCCGGCCTGAACCATACTCGTTCATCCCGAAAACCCGGTAGAGGACTCAACAACTCGCTGCCGGTTGTCTTGCTTCGGTCACAGACCTCATCGAAGCTCGAGACCTCTTGCTCGTCCGTTGACATGTATGCCACCGTTGAAGAGCCGATCGACACCGACCACCTCTCATCAATGCTCTCGGACGAGTAAAGTCTGCATAGCATCTCACACGGCTCCACGCCTTATCACCACTCTTTCCACCGTTCCACTCTTTCCACAACACAGCAGCGATGAGAGACCTCCCTCGTGCTCACCGCCTGCCCTCGAGACGATGGTGACGATGACCGCGGCACGACGAAGATACACCCCACAAACATCAGCAAATCGGTCTCATCTTCATCCATAGTCACTCTCCTCAATATACACAACGCTCATGTCGCTGCCACTGCCTCCCTTCCCGGACGATCGCTGGAATGCCAACTCCTCCCGCCCACCGCCCACACTGACCGGCGCCAGCCAGTGATCCACGGTCACTCGCCGGCTGGCGACCACCCCGCGAACCACCCCTTGCCCCGAGCAGCCGTGCGGGTTCCCCCCACGCCACCCCACGTCTCTCCCCCATTCCGGCACCATGTCAGCAAGTCGCAACGACAAGCGGAACCGAGCGCGTGCAGCGGCGCGGGGAGCAGCACTTGCGCAGTTCCGGTCGGCCGAGTCTGTGGTGAAGAGCGTGGTACTTGCGGCAGCGGTAGCTCGCGGAGCGCGAGTGGGCGAGCTGTGGGGCGGGCCGGGCGAGGTGAGCAAGTACGCCAACCAGGGCATCTCCGTCCTGGCTGCTGTACAGCCTGCAGGCGAGGTGGTAGAGGCGCTGGCGGCCAAGGTGGCGGCAAAGGGTGCGCCGTTTGCCCTTGCGCCCGTAGCGGCCGATCCGGCCAAGGTCGTCCTCGGTCCTGAGCTCATTCCCGAGGTCGACGTGGTGACGGCCTTTGGCGACGCGCTCGGTGGCGGATGGGCGTCGCGGAGGGCAGCAAGGACCATGCTACGCAACGTGGCGGCCATGCTCCCGTCAGGCGGCCTGTTTGTCGGCACCGCGCCCGACTCGGCCTCGATGTGGTACAAGGCCCAGAAGTCGGCCACCGTCGCCGTCGCCAACTTTGTCGGCCCGCTGTACAAGGTCGAGTTTGCCTCCAACGAGACTATGTCCATCTTTGCTGCCTCGGCTTCGCTCCGCCTCTCCGATGGCGAGCTGCGCGCCTGCCCGCTCATCCACTTTGCCACTCTCATCGAACTCGCTGCCGCAGAGGGTCTCTTTGTCGTCGACATCCAGAACGCCGCTGCTTTCTTTGCCGACCACGCCGCCGACCATCCCGAGATTGTCAAGGCCTTTGCCGTCTTTGCCAACTTTTCCTCGCTCCATCGCGATGCCGAAGACTTGCTCTCGCTCTTTACCACCTTTGTCTTCCGCAAGGCCTAGCCCACCCGCTCTCGATCTCGGACCGCGACAAGCGGCTCACTCGACCTTGACCCACTCGTCCGAGTCAGAGCCGCCACCGTCCAATTCAGAGCCCGCCTCGGCGGCTGCATCCGCGCTCGCGCTCGATGCAAACGCCCGTGCTCCGTCCTCGGTCAGCGTCGGCGGTGCGAGGCTCGCTGTGTCGATGCCGCCAAGCGCGGCCATGCTCGCCTCGCGCCCGGCCTGCGCGAGTGCACACAACTGGAGCGCCACCACAGCGGCGCTTCGCGAGAGTGACGAGCACTTGGCCTCGGTCCACACCCGCTTAAGCACCACCCGCGACACGCCGGTCGCCTGCAGGAGCGCGACGAGCCTGGCCTTTGCCGGCCGTCGCGTGCCGCGATCAAAGGACTTGGCGACCAGCGCCCGGTACGCCGCTCGGATCTCTGCCGCCCTCGCTGGCCGCGGTGCGTGAGCGAGGACTGGTGGCGCGCGCTGTGGGGGGTCGTCGGCGACTTTGGCCGTCAGCCTGTCGTCGCGGACCGGTCGGCTCGGCACCTCGTGGCGCGCGTCTGCGTCGGCAGCGGCAAGAGCGGCAGTGAGCAGCCAGTCGTCATTGGTAGCGCTGATCGAGTCCCACACGTCGACGTCTGCCGTCGGTGCCTCGGCGTGAGTTGGCAGCAGCGTCCCGATCATCACGGGTTCGACGGCCTGGGCGGCGAGGACTGGCGACGCCGCGCGCTTGCGTGTAAACAGATCATCGTCGTCATGGCCATGATCATGACCATGATCATCACTCCAGCCGTCGTCCTCCACCTCCCGCCCGTGTCCAAACACGTCATGATCAGCTACGTTTGCGCCGACCGGCAGTAGCGCCGACCCGGCCGCGTCAGCATCGAGGACAGGTAGCAGGGCGGCATGGCCAGCCTGCGGAAGGCACAGTTCGCCCAGGGAGGAGCCCACGCCCGCCATGCCCGAGCCCATGCCCATGCCCATACCTAAGCCGTCCATGGGGTCGGGCGGAATGAGTCCGCCGTCGCCACCGTCGCCAACCATGCCCTCGCTGGCCCACGCCATGTCGTTGGTGAAGTGAGTGGGAGGGAAGGAGGGTGCGGTGGGCGAGAGTCGCGTGTGCGACTTGGCTCGCTGCCGTTGAGTCATCGAGCCATTGCCCACCCATATCCCCCCACCCACCCATCCACCACCCACCCATCCATCATCCATCACCCACCCATCCATCACCCACCCATCCATCACCCACCCATCCATCACCCACCCATCCACCACCCACCCATCCACCACCCACCCATCCATCACCCACCCATCCATCACCCACCCATCCACCACCCACCCATCCATCACCCACCCATCCATCACCCACCCATCCACCACCCACCCATCCATCACCCACACACCATCGCCCGCCACCCGCCGCCCACCATCGCCCACCACCCACCTCGCCACCCCACCACCCCACCCGGGGGAATGCGCTCGCCACGGGTCTCCCTCTCCCGCCCCACCGGCAGCCACCCGCCCACACCCTCCAGCCCCACGGCACCCAGCCCCACGGCGCCCACACCCTCGGCCACCACCACCACGGCGGCATCGGCTGCCCGTGGCGTCTCCGCCGTGGGTCCGTTCCTCCGCCTCGCCGTCTCCTCTGCACAGACTGCTGCGGCAAAGGCTGCTCTCCCGCCTGACTCTGCCCGACTCCTCGCAGCAGCTGCTGCGAATGGCTCTGCCCCGGCTACCCGCGCTGGCTCTGCCCACCAGCTCATCAATCTCCTCCACGCTGCCCCTGCTGCTGCTGCTGCTGTCCTTCATCGTCTCTCTGTCTCCGATCTGTATGCGCTGAGAGCAACGTCCAAGAGTGCTCGTCGGCTGGTCGATGCTGCTCGCTCGTGGGCTCATCTGCCGCCCGAGCTATGGCCGTTGAGGGAGCTCTCCCACTCGGCCTTGATCGGTTGGGCCTCGTCTGGCCCGCTGGCCTTGGTCACAGCCCTGGACCTCTCTTCCTGCCATGCTGCTAGCGAAGAGATGCTGCTGGCTCTGGCTCGCTCCACCCGCGCCCTTACTCGCCTCATCCTTGTCGCCACACGCGGGGTCACCGACGCTGCCGTCGCTGCCCTCACCGCTGCCAACACCGGCCTCATCGCGATCCGCATCTCCCGTGCCCGCGCCCTTACTGATGAGGGCGTCATGGCCCTAGTGGACGCCGCCCGCGACCTCGAGCGTCTCGAGCTATCGTACTGCCCCAAGCTGACAGACGTCTCGGCAAAAGTGGTGGGCGGCATCCTGGCAAAGCTCTCCTGGCTCGTCCTCGATGGCCTGCGCAAGGTCTCGCCCGAAGGCGTCGCTGCTCTGGCCAACGCTGGCCAGAAGTACGCGCACCTCTCGCTCACCGGCCTGCGTGGCGTCGACGCACCATCCCTGGCTCGCCTCGCCCCTGCCCTGGCGCCTGCTGGCCACCTTTGCCTTGCGTCGTGTCCGCGCCTCTCGGCTGCCGGTCTCCGCGCCCTTGCACTCTCCCCTTCCTTTACTCCAGGCACGCTCGTGTTGCGCGCTACCGGGCGCGACTGTAGCGATGCCGCCGCCGGCCTGCTGCACACATCGCCGCAGACCGCCTTTGCCAGTCTTGCCACCCTCGACCTTTCGTCTTGCGCCGGACTTGACTCTGCCGTCATTGCCCATCTCGCCACGGGCACCTTTCCAGCCCTTACCCGCCTCGCCCTCGAGGGCCATCCGCGCCTTGGCGACGCCAATCTTTCCCAGCTCCTCCTCGCCGCACCGGCGTTGACCTCGATTGCACTCACCGGCTGTCGCATGCTCGGCGACACGAGCCTCAGCGTCCTCGGTTCCCGCGGGCCAGGTCTTGTCCATCTGGCACTGGCCGGTGCTGAGCTCGCCACGCCAGCCGGCTTTGCCGCCCTTGCATCCGGACGTGCGCTTGCGAGGTGTACTTTGCTCGATCTAGCCAACTGTTGCGGTCTGCGCGGCGATGGCCTGCGCGCACTCGCTGCTGCCGCTCCACAGCTTACCGAGCTCAATGTTAGCGGCAACACTGAGGTGCTCGCCGCCGACGTGCTGGCGGTGCTGGCGGCGCTCGGCCCACACATGCTCAGAAAGCTCGACGCGAGCTACACTCACGCGCCAGCGGCGCTTGAACAGCCTGCTGTCGAGTTGGACCCGCAGTTTGTGCCGTCGGCGCTCCCGCGGATGACGGAGCTCTCGTTCGCCGGCTGGCCGGTGGTCGACGCGGAGCTGCTGACCGCTTTTGCTCGCGGCCCGCTGCCAAGCGCCGCCCGCTCGCTCACCCACCTCAATCTCGAGGCATGCACCCAAGTCGACGATGAGAGCGTCCGACTTGTGGCATCGGCGCTGCCGCATCTGTCGGTGGTCAATTTCAACTGGTGCACTCGGGTGACCGACGCCGGCGTGGTGGCTCTTGTCGCGCTGACTGGCCCGCGGCCGGGCCGAGACGGCGGGAGTGGCGGCGACGACGGCGACGAACTCGGCGAGTCAGACCCGTTTGCCGACGATGCGCTGAGCGGCTTTGTGGGCCTCTCGTCGTTTGCCTCGGCCCACCACGTGGCGTCGACGTCGTCGGCGACAGGCATTCCGGCAGCGTCGCCACAGCCACTTGCCTCGATCGCGCCCACACGATCGCGCTCGCGGTCCAAGTCGCGGTCATCGGCCAAGCCGCCTGCTGCAGGCGGACAACTGCCGACGAGCAATGGCAAGAAGAAGCACAAGAAGAAGAGAAAGACGCACCAGAAGTCCGCGCTCGGGAACCGGCTGGTCTCTGTCGACTCGCTCGTCGATGATAGCGGCGACGGCGGCGACGGAGGAGGCGGCGACAAGGTCTCGTTGCCGTCGGTATCGTCGTCGCTCCTCTCACGGATCGGGCTCTACGGCTTGCACCAGCTGACCGACGCAGCACTCGACGCGCTCGGGCTCTGCCGCTCGCTGGAGCAAGCCAACATTGGCTCGTGCCCGCGGCTGTCCGAAGGCGGACAGCAGCGGCTCCTCCACGCGCTGCCACGGGTGGTTCTTGTTTACGCCGAGCCACGCAATCCTTAAAATCTTTGTGTCCAGCTTGTTCCATGCTAGCGAACCTCGTCGTACTCGTACTCGTACGCGTACTCGATTTCGATAGTTGTCTCACCGGGCCCGCCGAGCTCACAGTGCGAGCCGTCGCTGACATAGCCATCGCTCCGGCTGTCGTACGAGTACTCGACTGTGTCGCTGCCCGAGGTCTCAACGGAGTCTGATGCCGACTCGACGTCGACCATGCCGAGCTCGCGGGTTGGTGAGTCGTGCGCCCCGCAGGTAGCTGCTGCCGCCACCGCCAAAGGTGCATCGAGATACTCGGGCCGCGGCGTGATGGCCGGCGCGTGCGGAAAGGCAGAGTCACGGCTAGCCGCGCGCGCCTCCTCCCGCTCGCGGAGAGCCTCCAATCGCGCGTTGCGCCGCTCCAGCCATGCCGTCTGGCGCATGTAGAATGCAGCCGAGACCGGCTGCGGCTGCAACGACGGTACGGGATCGCGCCCCGTGTGCAGTCCGAGCGCAGAGTTGAACGAGCGCAGCGGCCGCGGTTGCCGCGAGCGATCTTTCTTCGGCCAATCTTTCTTGGGTCGCCGGCGGCGGCGCGCTGATGGCGGCGTGGCAGCAGCTGTTGGCATCGCGCGCGTCCGCATGGCGAGCGTCGGCGAAAACGTGCACTCGCGCATGCGCTCGCGCTCCAACTGCGCCGCCATAGCCGCCACCTTGGCCTCATTCTTGGCCGCCTTCATGTACGCCGCCTCACCTGGGTGATGAACCGAGGCCATTCGCCGTCGTGCCGCAATCTGCAGCGAGTGCTCGTTGAGCTGCGGCCGAAAGGTGAATTGAGCAGCGACTTGCGCCGCGACCGCGGCCCGGCGGCGCGCAAACTTGGCAGCTGCCGCATACGCATGCGCACCGAGCGCTTGCCGTGACTCACGAGTCATGCGCGATGGCTTAGCGGCGGCGGCAGCCTCAGCGGCGGCTTGCCTGCGACGCGCCGTGCGCCGTCTCCGTGCAATCGCCCGCTTCTGCCGCGCATGGGCGGCCTTCTCTGGCGAGCCCGCCCGCTCCTGGTCGGCGCGGATGCCCTCAACATGGCGGGCAGCCCAGGACGAGAGCGGCGGTGACGCCTGTCTTCGGACCGGCGATGGCGTCCGCAGCGCCTCCCACACCGGATCGACGCCGTCCGCCGCAAACCAGCCGTCACCGCCTGTGCCTCGGCTTCCGTCCGCCGCCTCGCCCACCGCCCTGCCTGCCACCAGTGAGCGGATTGGTGACGACCATAGCACCGAGTTGCGCCTGCTTGTCCCCGCGTCTGCGTCTGCCAGCGCCGTTGCTGCCGCCAGCGCCGCCGCCCTCGCCGCGATGTCCCCGCTTCCCACCACCGGCACTGCCTCTGCCCCTGCCTCGGCCCGCGCCGCCTCGCCCGGCACCCTGCCCGGCACCACCCTCACAGGCTCGCGCCCATCCAACGAGTACACTGGGCCCTCGACGTGCATGCCTACGCCTGCTGGCCCTGCTGGAGTGCCGTGCCGTCTGGCCCTGGCTCTGGCCCTCTCGCCTGCCACGCTGTCCAGTTCGAGCGGGCTCTTCGGCTGAGTCGCGCGGACAGGCCAATTTGCGGATTGGCGCCAAGCCCCCCCCCCCCCCCCCCCAACCCCTCTCTCCCCCTCTCGCCCCGGAATCACTCACAGCCACCGCCTGCAGCCTTTTACACCTACAGCTCGAGATTCAAAAAGTCATCGCCGGAAAGATCGGCGACGAGGTCGTCGACAAGCATGCCATGATCGGTTGGACCCGACGAGACGACCCGGGCGCCGCCGCTGGGAAGGGCGGTGCGCAGCGCGCTGGCGGGCGGTGTCGTCCCCGACCCGCTGCCGGCCGCACTTGTTCCGGCAAACGACGGTGTGCCGAGCTCGTTGAGAAAGTCTTCGAGGTCATCGTCGCCGAGGTCATCGTCGCCGAGGTCGTCGTCGAGCGGCGAGCCACCGCCATACCCGGCCGCTCGCCCGCCGGCCGTCCGCGGTCGGCTCACCCGTCCGCGGTCGCCCACGTTGCGTGAGCCGCGGCGCGAGCTGCGACGGCTCGACCCGCCGCGGCTCCGCGACGACGAGTGGCTCGCGCCGCGCCGCCGCGAGAAGCCGGACGTTGGCCCGGTCATCCCTGCCCGCGCCCGTGCCACGCTCGTCTCCACCCGTCCCTCGCCGGACGCGGCGGCAGTAGCGCTGGCCTCCACAGCTGGGCTGTTCGGCTCGTGATCAAAGAGCACGTCGTCCCAGTCGCAGAGTGACGTCTCAAGCTCGTCGTCCTTCTTGGAGCTGGCACCATCGTCGGCCGCCGCGGCTGCTGGCCCGGGCGACGGCGACGGGCTCAGCTCAAGAACGTGCGATGAGTGCAAGCCGGGCGAGGCGAGCGTCATCGCGCCTGCCGGCGACGAGACTGACGAGATGTTGAAGGATGACGCGGCACGCACCGCGCCAGCCGCGCTGTCGCTCGACTCGACGCCATCTGCACCGTCCACGTCGTCGTCGTCATCGTCATCGTCATCGCCGCCCAGCATCGGGATCGTCGGGATGTCGCACGAGTCCGAGGTCGCGCCGCCAACAACAGCCTGTTCGTCGTCAAGCCGCACCACGCCGCCATCGACAACCAGCGAAGCCGTAGCTGGGCCTGGCGTCGCGGGCTCGGCCACCCGCTTGGACGGTGAGCTGCGCTTGCGCCGTTTGCGCCGCTTCGACGAGCTCTCGAGCAGCGCATTGTTCTGCTCGATAATGGCGTTGTTGTTGGCAATGACCTGCGACATCGGCGACAGCGCCTCGACAGCAGCCACTGCTTCCTCATCGTGGTCATCGCCGTTATCGAGAACATCTTCCACCATCAGTGAGCCTTGTCCTGCGCTGCCGGCAGGCACCGGAGTCTTGGCGGGCGTGGCCTCTGGCGTTTGCTCGCTGTTGCCGGCAGCTCCAGACGCCCGAGTTCTCCGCTTCCGTCGCTTCACCCGGCGACTGCTGCTGGTGTTGTCCGCACTGGCAACCGAGGTCTTGTCGTCGTCGACGTCGTCCACGAGCGCGTCCGCGACGTCCTCGACAATCATCTCGACTACTTGTGTCTCAGCCGGAGCCTCGCCCACTGAGTCTGCAGCGGGTGCCACTTCTGCTGCGACTGGGGTGCCGTCACCGTTGGCCTCGCCTCCGGCCTCGTGACGAGGCCGGCGGCGCTCTTTTTGCGCCGACGGCTGGGAGTAGCCTCGAGCTCGGGCTCGGGCTCGGACTCTGGCTCGACCGAGCGCTTGCTCTCGTACAGCGAGGCGAGCATGTTCTCGTTGTCGTTCTCGTTGTCGCTGACGGGCGGCGGCGCAGTCGACGCCACCACGGCAGCCAGCGCCTCCATCTCGGCTTCAACCTCCTGACGGGTGGCGTCGTAGGCCGGCCCTTGCAGATGCGGCGCCGTCCGGCTCGTCCTGGAAGCCTCAAAGCGCTCCTGCGCAAGTGCAAGCTCCCGCTTTGAAAGACCGCCATGGCGCGCTTCGGCCTCGGCTGCTCCAAGCGTCGACAGCTCGGCACTCACCTCAGCGTCGACAACCTCGGACTCATACCTGATGTCCTCGTCATCGTGCTCAAATCGGGTCTTGAGGTATGACTTGTCGCCAGAGAGCGAGTGGATCTTGGGCATGTCAGCGAGTGAAGTCGAGAGAACCGACGGCTCGCCAGCGCCGGCAAGCTGCGGCGTGGATTGTGGCGTGGACTGGCGCTGCGGCTGCGCTTCTGGCTCGCGGCTCTCCTTGCCCTTGGACCGCCGCCGCCGCTTGCGCTTCTTCGACGGCTTAGCTTCATCGATGACTGCTGCTGCTGCTGCTGCTGCGGCCTCGACCGCCGGCAGCGACTCGCCGAGGTCCGAAACGTCAAAGGCCGAGTCCTGCTCGGCAGCCACAGGGACTGCAAGCAGATGCGACTCGTCGCCAACCAGCACCTCGACAGGGGTCAGCTCCGGGCCGATGATCTCCTTGCGCGACTCGTCCCGCGAGAGCTCGTGTGCCACCACCTGCCGCTCCTCAGGCTGCATGGGGTCGGGCCGCTTGCTGCGGCGCCGGCTGCGACGCCGACGCTTGCTCGAGCTCATCGATGCCGGCGTTGGCTCGGGTTCAGGTGCCGGCACGTCGACTGCCGCTTCATCGGCATCGCAGATACTCTCGTCGCCGCGGCGCTTGGTCCTCCGGCGCCTGCGTCGGTGCGACGACCGCGTCGACCTGACGCCGCCAGTGTCGGCAGCCGAGCTCCCCACAGCAGGATTGACACTCTGCTCCTCGTCGGCGTCGCGGAGCTCGCCAATGGCTGCCGGCTTGGCTGGGCTCGCCGAGGCCATAGCCTCGAGCTGGGCCTGAAGCCGCTTGTTCTCGTCAGCGAGCTTGCTCATTTCGGCGGCTGTCTCGCGAGTGTTGGCCTCCTGCGCCGCCAGCTTGTCGGTCACGACCGCAAGCTTGTCCTCCAGAAACTCACGCATCGACTCGTCGAGGCCGCTGGCGGCGTCGCCGCCGTCGGCGTCGACGAGGCCGCCGATGACCAAACCCGAATCCATGCCGACGCCCTGCGGCGCCTCAAGCTGGAACCGCATCTGCTCGAGTGCCGCTGAATGTGCTGCCTGCATCTCGGCGCGCTGCGCTTCCAGCTGGTCCTGGAACTGGCGCTGCATCTGCTCCAGCTGGGTGGTGAGCGCCGCTAGCTGGGCTGCGGCGGCCGGATCGGGGGCAGCCGTGTGTGCTGGTGCTACTGGCGCAGTCTGCCGGCTCTCTAGCGCCGCCTTGAGCTGCGCCTCAAGCCGCTCCTCCAGACTTCCGACCGACTTGAGCTGGTCCTGCGATGCCTGGGCCGCAGCGCGCCACTCTTCCATCTCCTTTCGGAGCTGGGCGACCTCGTCGGCCTGTGCTGCGGCTGCGGCCTGTGCTGCAGACGCGGCGGCGGCGGCGGCAGTGACTGCAGCGGCAGCCTCGTTGCCAGAGGCAGCCTTGCCCATCGGCAGGCTCGGGGCGGCAGCCTGTTCCTGCGGCGGGGCATTCTCGTTGGCGGGAGCAGCCGGCATCGCTGCAAACGCGTCGGCGTGTTCTGGGTGTCTGCGAAGGACATGCGAGCGAACGTAGTAGCTGTTGAGAAATACCTTGCTGCAGAACGGGCAGCCGTTGAGGTCTGTGGTAAGCCCGGCGACGGCCGGTGCGGTTTGGGCCGGCACGCCGACCGCGGCCGGGAGCGCCGAGTCGGGAGCCGAGCCCAGCAGGCGCTGGTAGGTGTGGACAATCTTGCGGAGCGACTTGAGTTCCTTCCGCATGCCCCGGGCGTCATCGTCTGCGGCGGCGAGCTTGCGCTGCGCGGCGGCGAGCTCAGCCTGCGCATCTGCGGCGGCTGCAGCAGCGGCGTCTTTGCGCTCCTCGAGGTAATCCTGACCCTGCAGCAGGTAGTCGATGATGAGCTGGGCGAGCTTGAAGAGCTTGACAAAGTTGGCGTCGACGCCGCGGAGATCCTCACCCTCGATGTCGGCAAAGGTTACGTTCTCCAGCACGGCTTGGAGGGCGCCAAAGTCGAGGTGCTTCTCGATGGCCGCCACGTCGAGGCCCGAGACCAGCCGCCAGTCGATGCCCCCGGCCCGAGGCCGAAAGTAGAACGCAGGCGGTCCGGGCGAGTCCCTAGCCCCCTCCCCCCGGCCAACCCCATGCCATCCACCACCATCTGTGTGAGTCGCACTACCGTCTGCCACCGTTCGCTGCAGTCGCCGGCCGCCGTTTTGGCGCCAACAGCCGCCTACCACAGCCATGGCCATCCTGCCGTAGTGAGGGTGGTCCCCCCCCTCCCCCCCCCTCCCCCCCCCTCCCCCCTCCTCCCCCATATCCCCCCTCTCCCTCCCCTCTTTCATCCCTCCCTGCCCTCCTTCCACGTACATCCCTCCTGCAGTCGGGTGTGGGTGGTGTGCGGAGAAGGGGTGTGGCCAGGGCTGTGGGGCATTCGATGGTCGCCTGCCGAACCGAGGCATTTAGTTGAGGCATGGGCCAGACCGAGGCATGGGCCAGACCGAGGCATGGGCCAGATCGAGGCATGGCCCACACAGGGTCAAGCCAAGGCCAGCTGTCTTGGTCGATCCCGTGATGATGATGGATGGCAAGTGATAGAGTTGGGGGCGATTAATCGTAGCTCTGTTGTTCTTCCAATCGTTGGTCTTCTCCTCGCTTGCTCGCCGTCTGCGATCCCCCCTCTCCTCTTCCTCCTTGCCTCCCCACCATCCATGGAGACCCCGATCTCTGTCTCCTGCCCTGCCCTCCCCTCTCCCTCCCCTCTCACCGTCCATCTCCTCTCCTCCCACCACTTCCGCCCCACCCCACCCATTTCCACCCGTCCCCTGTGCACATCTGCGTTTTGGCGCGAAGCGGGGGGAGAGGGGGGGAGGCTCGTCGGGTGCGGGCGAGGGTGGTGACGGCCTGGCTGGCACTGGGCCACCTTGTTGACGGAAGCGGAGCGGGAGGAGCAAGACCTAACTCGCGACTGATCGAGTACGGTTGCAAAGAGAGACCGATGTGCGACGCACTGTTTGGAAGCCGTGCGCCTGCGACGTCTGTGGATGGCTACCTCCTTGGCCCGTCCAAGAAGATTGCTGTCGAGACCGGCTCCAATGCATGGATAGAGTACGTGGCCGTCTCCATGCAGGGCTGGCGGGCGAGCATGGAGGACGAGCACAACGCCATACTGGACATGATGCAGTTCAAGGACAAGGTATCCGGTGCTGCTACCGCTGCTCAAACCAGCAAGAAGTCGGCCTCGTCGCCGGCCTCGTCGCCGGCCTCGTCGCCGGCCTCGTCGCCGGCCTCGTCGCCCGCAAACTCGTCCTCGCCACGCGACGAGTCCGAAAGTCATTGCCGGCGCCGCTCAGACGATGGCTCGGACGCTTCTGCCTTTGACTCGACCGCAGATCGGTCAGACTCGTCGTATCGCTCATACTCGGAGGCCCAGGAGGAGCCGCGCCGGTCGACCAAGGGCCGGTCGACCAAGGGCCGGTCGAACAAGGGCCGGTCGAGCAAGGGCCGGTCGAACAAGGGCCGGTCGAACAAGGGCCGGTCGAACAAGGGAAGCTCCAAAGGCCGGTCGAACAAGAGCCGGTCGAACAAGGGAAGCTCCAAAGGCCGGTCGAACAAGAGCCGGTCGAGCAAGGGCAGCTCCAAGGGAAGTTCCAAGCACAAGTCCTCGGCATCTGGCTCGACGTCATCAGCAGACACTCTGTCGCCGTCCAACGTTCGCGTGCAGAGCAAACGCAAGTCAAGCAGCAAGGGAAGCTCCAAGCGGAGCAAGGGCAAGCGCTCGGCCGGGAAACAGGTATCACCGTCAGCGTCTGACTCGCCCTCATCGTCCCATTCGCCCACACCGGTCATCTCCGAGTCAACGTCCGAGTCCGACCCCGAGTCTCAGCCCGAGCCCGAGTCCGAGTCTGAGCCCGAGTCTGAGCCCGAGTCCGAGTCTGAGCCCGAGTCCGAGTCCGGGTCGTCGAGCCCGGGCTGCGAGAGCGCAAAGTCATCTGCTGACCAGGAGAGCCGCAACGACAGTGACAAGGGCAAGGGCAAGGGTAAGAGTAAGGGCAAGGGCAAGGGTAGGTCGCGGTTCAGCTTCCTGATGCGCAAGCGACCTGTGCCCGAGGACGCGCCGCTGATGTACTTTGCTGTGTACGACGGACACGGCGGCGACGAGGTGTCCAAGCTGTGTGCGGCGGTGCTACCTGCGGCGATTGCGCAGCGGATTCCGCACGAGTACTCGCCCAAGGACCTTGCGCGTGCGATGAAGGAAACGGTGCTGCGGCTGGATCGCAAGCTTATTGCTGACAAGTTTGAGCTGGGGACAGAGCCTGGCTCGACGGCGATCATGACCCTTGTCTCCCCGACACACTTTGTGGTGGGCAACGTCGGCGACTCGAGGGCGCTGCTATGCCGTGACGGCGAGCTTGTGGCCATGTCGCGCGACCACAAGGCGAATCTGCCGCACGAGCGGCGGCGGATTGAGCGCGCTGGCGCGGTGGTCGAGCACTCTGAGGGTGACGACTACCGGGTCGGTGGCCTGGCCATGTCGCGGTCGATCGGTGACGTCGACCTCAAGCGAGTCCGCGGGCGGTCGCAGCTGCAGCAGCCGGTCATTGCCGACCCAGAGTTTGCGGTCCGGCCCAACGACGGGCGGGTCTCGTTTATGGTCGTCGCCTGCGATGGCATCTTTGACGCCAAAACCAACCATCAAGTTATCGCTTTTGTCAAGAGCCGCCTAGACCGCGGCCACTCGCTCAAAAAGGTGGCAAAGGCGCTCCTGCTCGACTGCCTCGACCCGCAGGCTGTCAACGATCTCAACAACGCTAGCAGCGAGCACGGCGGGCGATCGACCGCCCACGGCTCGACGGACAACATGACCGCCATCCTCATCCGCTTCAAGACGTTTGACCCGTCCAAGGCCCAAGGCCTCGCTCGCGCCGACTCGACCGCCACCACGACCGCCACCGCCACGGCCTCGGGCTCTTCGCTCACCTCCTCAGCCTCGGGCTCATCTCTCAACGCCGACGCCGATGCCGAGAGCGACAGCGAGTCAGACGCGGCCTCGAGCTCGGAAGACGACGACGACGAGTCGTCGGCCTCAGCCTCGCCGTCAACCGAAGTCTCGGTCAATCTCGAGGACTATGTCGAGCGGCGGCCACAGCGCGGGTCGCGGCGGTCTAGCCGGCGGCGTGGGCGTGGGCGAACTAGCTCAGGCTCGGGCTCGGGCTCGGGCTCCCCGGCGCGGACCACGACGCGGTCTGGCCGGATTCCAGCGTCGCCGCGGCGGAGCCGGTCGCGCCATGAGTCATCGGGCGGGAGTACGCCGCGCGACTCGCGCCGGCGCTCGTCGCGCTCCGCCCGCTACTAAGCGCCATGCGAGATCTATTTCCTCTGGCGTCCTGGCTTCAGAAACTGTGCCTTGGGTGGCGAGCCTGCGGCTGCAGCCCGACTGGCCAGCTCCGGAAAGTGCGGCTGGGTCGGTGTGCCTGCGGCCGAAGCCGACTCGGAGCCAGCAACAGCCTCGAGGGCCCGACGTGCTTCGCGCTCGCGGCGCTGGCGCCGGTGCTTGGACTTGCGCTCGGCACGGTGGCGCTTGATGGCATGCGCTGCCGACGTCTGGTCGATACAGAACAGCGGTGTGCGGCGGATAAACCGTGACGACGGCTCGAGGCGGATCCCGAGCGGGTTGTGGAGCCGAGACGGTGCAGCCTCTGTGGCCGTTTCGGTCGCCATCCGGAGCGCGGCCGCGTTTGTGAGGAGGCCAGTCGAGACTACGCCTGCATCAGCAGAGCTACTCTCCGGGTGCGCCCCACTTGTGTTGGCGAGGCCTTCCGAGACGGCGATCATAACCTCCTCACACGCCTCGCACGGATTGCCTGATAGGGTGATCATGTTGACGTTGACGTTGGCGTGGAGGCCGGCGGCAAGGTCTCTGGCGCCGGTGGCTGTGATGGCGTTAGCGTCGAGGTGCAGGCGCATGAGGCGCTTGTTGGCGGCGAGGCCGGCCGCAAAGGCGGAAGCACCATCATCAGCGATGGTGTTCGACTTGAGGTTGAGCTCGAGGAGAGTGGCGTTGGATGCTAGCGCCTTTCCGAGGGCGGCCGCGCCGTCGTCGCCAATGCTGTTGTACCCGAGGTTGAGCGCGGTGAGGCCGGCTTCCGAGCCGGAGAGGACCGAGGCCAGGAGTGTGGCGCCTATGTCGCCGACCTGATTCCAGTACAGATCAAGCGCGGTGAGCGTCATGCCGCGGGCAACGTCGACCGAGGTCATGGTGGCCATGGCAAACTCGAGATAGACCGAGGGCTGGGAAAGGCCATCGCCGGCATCAGCGGCAGCACTGGCTTCGTCCGAGAGGAGCTTGGTTGCTGACGGCGACTTGGCGAGGCGGGCGGTGGAGGCCTGGCCGGCAGCGGCGAGGAGCGAGCCGTTGAGCGCGTCGACGAGATAGGCGAGGCCGATGGCGGAGATGCCGTTGGCGGCGAGCGAGAGCTTGGCCAGTGAGCGAGCAGCAGCGACTCCGCGCGCGACGCCGTGCATGGCCGCATCACCGAGCTCGTTGAACCCGATGTCGAGTGAGGCGAGGGTCCGAGCCGAGGCGAGCAGCGATGCGAGGACATCACCGGCCGTATCGCTGAGCTCGTTGTTCCGCAGCGAGAGGCTGGTCAGCGAGGTGTTGACATGCAGCGCGAGAGCGAGCTCCTCCACCCCGGCCGTCGTGATGGCGTTAGACGAGACGTCGACGTGCGTCACCTGCGACGACTCGAGCGTCAGCTCGTGGGCCAGCGCCGTCAGCCCGTCATCGTACATGGCCGAGTTGGCGAGCATCACCTCCTCCACCGTCGCCCCGAGCAGGTCCATCGTGCTCTGGGGTGGGGTGGGGTGGGGTGGGGTGGTGGGGTGGGTGGGTGGGGGAGGTGAGGGTGGAGTGGTGGTGAGCGGAGGTCTTGCTGCTCCCCACGGTCATCGCATCTCGCATCAGTCCCGCTTCACCCAACGCAAGCCACATGTGGCGATCTGGCCCGCTACTCCCTTTCCTCTCATCGATGCTCTCTCTCTCTCTGCCTATGGATCGGCCCATGACTCGGCCCATGACTCGGCCCATGGCTCGGCCCATGACTCGGCCCATGACTCGGCCCATGACTCGGCCCATGACTCGCTCGGTTCTTGCTAGCAGTTGAATGAGGAGTGGGCTGGCGAGCCGGCGGGTTGGCTCACTGGCACGAACGGGTGGGCGAACGATGGTGGCGACGAATCGTCACCAGCCGTCTCGTGACCGCCGCCAGCCAGCGAAGGTTCTGAACGACAGTGGGATGTCCAAGGTGCTGGGCTTCCTCAAGGGGAAGCGAGTGGAAGTGGAGGTCAACTACCGGTCGACAGGGCGGGAGGACAAGACGGTAGGCTCGGAGACGCTGCCGGTCTTCCTCGGCGACCAGGCTGTGGTCGGAAGCGTCGTCGTCAATGCCAAGAAAAAATTCGAGCACCTGGGCATCCAGTGCGAGTTTGTGGGCCAGATCGAGCTCTCGCACGCGCGCGGCAAGCCGGTAGTCTTTATCTCCGACTCGATCCAGTTGGCTAAGGAGGGCACGCTCGACGGCTCGCAGTCGTTCGACTTCAATTTCGATGACGCCGACAAGAGCTACGAGAGCTACAACGGCATCAACGCCCGCCTCCGCTACTTTGTCCGCGTCACCGTCCTCCAAAAGTACGGCGACGTGGTCAAGGAGGCCGACCTGTGGGTCATCAACTACCAGGCCGCGCCCGAGGAGAACCGTGGCATCAAGATGGAGGTCGGCATATCCGAGTGCCTGCACATCGAGATCGAGTACGTCTCCACCAAGCACCACCTGCAGGACGTTGTCATCGGCAAGATCTACTTCCTCCTCTCGCGCATCAAGGTCAAGCACATGGCGGTCTCGCTCGTCCGCAGAGAAACTGTTGCTGTCGGCAAGGAACATGTCTCGGAGCGCCGCATCCTCGCAAAGTACGAGATCATGGACGGCGAGCCTGTCCGCGGCGAGTCCATTCCCGTCCGCATCTTCCTTGGCGCCTACCCGCTCACTCCGACCTACCACAAGGTTGAGAACAAGTTCTCGCTCCGCTACTACCTCTCGCTTGGCATCATCGATGCCGAGGACCGCCGCTACTTTAAGCAGCACGAGATCGTGCTCTGGCGCCGCCCAGAAGAGGCCACCCAGGACCGCCGCGGCCTCGAAACCTACCGCTCGGCCCTCACCATGCTCAAGTGATCGCCGTTTGGGCTTGTGCCCCAACCGCCGCGCTAAACCTGTAAAAACAAGGCCGTGCTCGAGCTCGGCGATTCAGTCCACATACCAGTGCAGGAACAAGACCGTGAACGAGGCGCCGATGAGAAACGCAAGCATGTAGATGCGATACGAGACCGAGGACTCGCGGTACTTGCGGAGTTCAGTGTTGCCGGTCTCCATGTTGGCCACAGACACCGACGCGTTGTGCAGCAGTGCGTCAATGAGCTCCGCCTGCTCAGAGAGCCGCGAGGCCATGACCGAGTGCAGCTCGTGGATGTGAACCATCTTGCGCTCGGCCTCGCGGACTTGGTCCACCATTGTGGCCACCTCGTCGGCCAGTGCCCGGTTCTCCACCGCGAGTTGTGCCGCGAGCGCTGGCGACGTGCTCGCCGCCACGCTCGCGCCCACCGCATCGGTAGCAAAAAACGATTCGGCCGCGATCTCGAGAGGCTCAGCGCCCATCAGAGGATCGTATGCACTCGCTCCTGCTCCTGTTCCGCTCCCCGCGCCCCGCGCCCCGCACGCCAGCGTCGCCACGTCCAGCTGCAACCGTGCCTTCTGCGCCGCCGCTCCCGCCCGCGCTGCCCGCAGCGCCTTGAGCTCCTCGTCAACCTCGAGCATCTTGCCGTTGAGCGCGCGGAGGACCGAGAGATGGAAGGCTCGCAACGCCGGCGGAACTGCAGCCTCGGCCTTGGGCGACGAGATCCGTCCAGCGAGAGCGTCGAGCTCGGCGCAGAGCGTATGCAGCGCCGTCTCGAGCGCTTTGTCCACTCCATCCTTTTCAGCCTCGGTCGTCGGAGCGCCCTCACGCAGCGCCTCCATTCCGGACTCCATCTCCACAAGCGTTCCGTACATGGCCAGCGTCGCGTCCGAGAACCCGCTCCGTGCCCGCCGCGCCTTCCTCATCATTGTCTCGCCCACCGCCCGCCCCTCTTCCCGTGCCTGCGCCCGCGCCGCAGCCCGAAACGCCTCCAGCCGGTCCACGCCACCCATACCCAGCCACCTCCTTGCTGCACAGCTTGCACAAGAGTCAGCTGCCCGGTCCCAAGCCTGGGCTCGAACCCAAGCCCCACCTCCCGACGGGCGCCGGCCAGCCCCAACTCAGCTCACAATCGAGCGCCCGCTGTGGCCTTCTCAGGCAAGCCAGAAATATCTCGGTCTACACTGGCACGATTCTGGGCTACACGTCAATCAAAATTGACTGCCCCCCTCCCCTCATACCTGTCAAGCTACGCTGCGATGCGAGCTGGCCACCTGGCCACCACCGTCTACGTAGAGGCCGTCTCGTACCTGGCCACCGTCCAACACATGGAACAACTTCACCATCGTACTCCCTCCCCCAATCTCGCTCCCCTTCAAACTTCGCTCCCACATCTCTCTCTCCCCCCCCCCCCCCTCCTCTTCCTCCCTTTCTTTCCTTTCGTTGTAGCTCTGCACCAGGCACGCGTCGATTCACGTGCCGCTTGCTGGCACAAAGGAGTTGCGCGTGCGGCTGAGGTTGACCGACATGCGCTCCACGGCTTGACCTCGTCGGCACAGCGTGTATTCTACACACCACAGCTGGCCACAGCTAGCAAAAAACCACAGCCAACAAGCTTAAGAGGTCCACGCGCAGCCGTCTCCCACCCCTCACGGTCTGGTCTAGCCGCGGCCTTTGTCCTTGACTGGCAACGAGCTGAGCTCGGAACAGGTCGCGGTGGTCGATTGACAGGCCAAAAAAACGCCCTTTGCTGGCTGGCTGGCGCAAGTGCGCTTTCGCGAGTCACCGCCGACACACCACCGTGGTACCGCAACACCCGCACCACTCGACTGGCGTTTGCCGCAGTAGGAGGTAGAAGAGGGCCTACGGGTACTGCCCACACTACCTACAGTACGTAGTCTTGGTTTCCAGTGCCCCTGACCGTGTGTCTCTCCCCTCCCTCCCCCCCCCCCCCCTCCCCCTCCCCTCCCCCCCCCTCCTCGCCCCTCGTCCGCCCCTCCTCGCCCCTTCTTTTCCTCCTTGTTGACTTGCCACGTAAGTCTCCCCGCGCTGCCACGAGAGCGCGACCGTGCTTGGCCCCCCTGGCAGCGAGCAAGTAGGAGTGCAGGTCGCGTCCACGACACTCACCCGCGCTAATTCTGGTCAATTTGGCCCATTCTCCTTCAAAAACTTGGCTCTCGTTTGCCAACCTGTTTTTGGTTGCTCGTCTCACATCGAACCGAAAGGAGGCCATTTTCTCACCGACCGACAGGCAGCAGACCAAGGGCAACTTCACGCTCACTTGCCGCTATGGCGGACTCTCAAAGAGGAGCTTGGGGCATGAATGGAGGGGGAAGCCTATGGGGTGCACCGTCAGGTGGCCCAGGTGTACCTCCGGGCACATGGGCCCCACCAAGCGCCGCCCAATCGGGTTGGCCGACTGCGACAAACCCACGTGGGTCGTCGCCGGCCGCGCAAGGCGCAGGCTTGCCGTCCACAGGCGCAGGCAGCGGCCGCCAACCAGGCTCTCGCACCGGTAGCAGTGCAGACGGTCATGGTAGCCGCTTTGCCCATAGCTTTGATGCCGGTGCTGTCGGCAGGCAACAAGCCGCCCAAGGCGGCGGTGGTGGAGGCCGCCCGCGCTACCCGGCACGTGCGAGTTCGCACTCCCGCAAAAGCCGCACCACTCCACCGGCTTCTCCTACCGAGCCCACCACTCCGGGCGCCCGCAGACGCGGCAATCAGCGCTCACACCATCCAGGGCCTCCGGGCACTCTAAGCGCACCTGCCCACAACTCGGCCGACTCACGAGCCGGTGGCAAAACCGGCGGTAGAGCCGGAAACGCCAGCCCTGACTTTTGCAACACTAGCTACTCTGGCAAAGCAAGCCGCCGGCCTGGCGCAAATGCCGAGGCTAGGCAGGTTGGCGGCAGGAGCGGCCGCCGTCGCGGTAATGGTGACGGCAACAGCAATGGCAATGGCAATGGCAATGGCAATGGCAATGGCAATGGCAATGGCAACTCGAACAGCTATGACGGTCGCAGCAACGCCAAGGGTGGCGGCGGCCGGAGCAGCAAGAACAGCCGGCGCAATAGGTCCGGCAAGGCACGGAACGGCTCGAGCAACAAGAACAGCAACAACAAGAACAACAACAACAACAACAACAACAACAACAACAACAGCAACAACAAGAGCAAGAACAAGAACAGCTCCAACAACCTTTCCTCAACTGCATCGACCACAGCTACTGGCGGACCGGGGCGATGGGGAAGGCGGGCCGGCAAAGCGCCGTCGGCCGAGGCGCTGCGCAACCCGGGCAAAGAGTTGTCACGGCTGGTGAGTAAGCGCGACATAGAGGGCGCTGAGGCCCTCATGTCGTGGCTCAAGGTCAACGGCCCGCCGCCGGGCCTCATCATGTATTCCAAAATGATGCGTGGCTACACTCGCATCGGCGAGATGGACAAAGCCGAGGATCTTCTCCGCGAGATCGTCGACGTTGGCCACACTCCACACGACGTAGTGTACAACACCCTCATGCAAGGCTACGCCGAGGCCGGCCTCATGGACGAGGCCGAGCGCGTCATGCACCGTATGGTCGACGCAGACGTCCTCCCCGACGACTTTTCGTTCAACATCCTCGTCCTCGGCTACACCCGCCGCCTTAAGATGTCCGAAGCCGAAGCCATCCGCACGCGCATGGAGGCCGCAGGCCTCACTCCGGACCGCTACACGCTCAACGCCCTGCTCAAGGGCCACCTCCGCTCCAGCAACCCGGTCGGCGTCCGCGACATCCTGCACGACATGCAGCGGCTCGGCGTCAAGGGGGAGGTGGAGCTCACCGAGTCGGCCCGCAAGTTTCTGGCTGACATGCCGCCGCAGCACGGTATGCAGGTCTCAGGTAGCTCGGCCGACCTCCCGCGGGCAATGTCTATCTCGTCGGCCGGCTCTGCCATGTCAACCTCGTCGCTCGCTCCGCTCAACCTGTCCGGCTCGTCACTCATCCACTCGTCGTCAGGTGCCACCACCTCGAGCGCCTCACTCGTTAGCGCATCGACAAGCGGCACCTCGCTCTCGTCGTCGACCCGCGATCCAGCCGACGTAGGCTCGCCATCCTCGCTCCGTGCCCAAGCCGCCATCGAAGCAGGCACTCGCACCCTCCCGAAGCCACTCTCGCTCGACGTCACCCGCCCGAGCCGCGGCCAAGCCGGGTCGTTCTCGCTCTCGCCGCGTAAAGCCCGCGGCGGCGGCAATTCATCGCCCAGCGGGCGTGGCCGTGGCTGTGGCCGCGGCGCTCGCTCGCTCTCGCTCTCGCCGTCGGGCGGCGGTGTTGGCTCGCCCAAGTCGGCCACCTCGCCGCTGGTGGTTGCCCAGCCCAACTCGAAGCGCACCATCCGCAATTTGCTCAAGGCCGACAAGACCGCCCCCGTCTCGCACATTGTCTCCACCATGAAGGCCGAGGGCATCGTGCTCTCGGTCGTCTCGTACACCCAGCTCCTGCGCGGCCTTGCAGAGTCCAAGCGCCTCGACGCTGCTGAGGAGGTCCTCGCCCACATGAAGGCCGATGGCGTCGCTCCCAACGTCGTCACCTACACCACCCTCCTCAGAGGCTACGCCAAAATGGGCAACACCGCCGCCGCCGAAGAGGTCCTCGTCCGCATGAAGACGGACGGTGTGGCTCCCAACGACTTTACGTACAACACTCTCCAGCAGGGTTACGTCCGCAAGGGCGCCCTCTCCGCCGCGGAGACCATCCTGGATCGCATGCGCGCTGACGGTGTCGATCCAGACCTCGTCACGTACACCCAGATCATGACGGGCTACGCCCGTAAGGGCATGGCCGACGAGGCCGAGGCTGCGCTCGCCGCCATGAAGGCCGAAGGCATCCCTCTTCGTCACTCGGTCTACTTTCCGCTCGCAAAGGCCCATGTCAAGGCCGGCAACATCGAAGGCGCCCAGAACGTCGTTGTCCGCATGAAGGCCGAAGGCATCGCCGTCACCTCGGAAATCCAGACCCTTGTCGCCAACGCCATCACCGCTGCGGCTTCGGCGAACTCCTCGCGCTCTCGCTCCCGTGGCTCGTCTGCAGAGGCCACCGCCGCCGCTCTCCGCAAGACTCAGTCGGACCTTGGCGACTCGTTCCGCCGCGCCAACAACGCCACAAAGTCGCCGCAAAAGGCCAGCCGTCTCGGAAGCTCGGCGCAACTGCCTCGTCCTCCGTCTTCGGCACAGCACTCACTGCACCCTGCCACTTCCTCGCTGGCTCGCTCGCAATCGGATCCTGCGACCAACGTCAACTCGGCACTCCACTCGGCACCCGCGCCCGCTGCGACAGCCGCCCCACAGCCGCCCGCCCTCGTCGACCCCTCGCTCTACCTTGCCGACCTGTGGCCTGTCTCGCATCTCGAACCCACAGCCGTCATCTGCGCGCGAGACCACCGCGCCATCGCTTCCCTTCTCACCCGCGGGCATGTCTCCCGCTGGGTCCAATGAATCGGCTGAAGCGACGGCGCACGGCGCGCACATGTGCGGGAGTTGTCGCCCGTCAGTCAGTCAACAGTTTTGTTTTTTCACTGCAACCCACGCACTGTTTGCGGCGAAACTACCTCCCCCCCCCCCTCCCTCCCCCCCCCCTCCTTCCTACCCACACGATCGTATACCTATCTCAACATAGGCTAAACTCACGTAGCAAGCCCAGACTATGTCCCGTACTGCGCTTCTCATTCTTATGGCCACGCTCCTCGTGGCCATGGCCTCTTGGGCGGACGCACAGGATGTGCCGCGGACGTATTTGGCGGTAACGAAAATGACGCCCATCCATGCAAGCCGCCCTGCCGGGGCGGGGGTCACCCCGCGCGTTGCGTACGACGACAACTACATCTACATCGCCTCACGTGACGAGGGCAATGGAGGTCGCCTCCTTGTCACTCGCTGCTCTTTTGAAGGAACTGCATGTTCCTACATCGACGTGTCCGAAGCGGCTGGCCAGGGCGACGACTCGATTCAGCTGCCTTTTCTTCTCGTCACCAACAACACGCTCTACGTGGCAGGCTCGAATCCAGCTGCCGCTCACAAGCCCGCCATGTACCTTTGCAAGCTGCCGGCAGTTTCGCCGTGCCAGTACATTGACTTGGATCCAACCAGCTCAAGCGTGGTCGTCACCGAAGCCCACATCACTGTCCAGCGGACGACCGGGAAATCCTGACAATTTTCAGGGACAAGAGCAACTCCAACTCGTTCAAGTTCTTTGTCTGCGAGGCCGATGGCTCGTCGTGCCTGGTCAGGCGTGACAACTCGTTCTTTACTACCCACCGCAATGCCATGTACACCCCAGTCATGATCTCGCTCAACACCACCGAGTTGGGCGAAGTGCTACAGATCCGTGGCGAAGACCGGTCCCACTGGAGAGGTGGAATCCGGTATGTGGTCGTCAATCCGACGACGTACACAACACCAACGGGTACCTCATACGTGAGCAACCTTCTGCGAGCGACGCATCCAAGCTCAATCTCGGTCACCGAGGTTCCTGAACGCGACGAGGCATGGATCGCGTACACCGGCAACGACAACAGCTACAATTCCAAGCCTGTCAGTCACCTCAACAATCTCCTCGGCATCACACGATGCACCCCCTCTACGTCCACCCTGAGCTGCAATTCGGGCGGCTACATCGACATCGATGCAGGCCACAACTACGGCGACACCGGGCTCAGCCCGTCCATGATGTTTGATGACGCTGGCGACAACATGTTTGCCGTCAGCCGCAATGCCGGCGCTGGCGATCGGCTCTTCCTCTGGTCGGCAACCTCGGAGTACGGTCAGGCTCTCGGCGAGGATCTTTCCGAGGCCGTTGGACGTGGCAATGGGACTGTCTCTTCGGCCCATGCCATCATGGACACCACCCGCCGGTACATCTACTCGGTAGCGGAGAACCCCTCGAATGGCAATCGCACCGACCTGTTCATCACCGGGCGGATCCCGATCATTATTCCGTTCTTTGGCGAGTGCATCGCCGGCTGCGTGCTCGGCAGCGGCGGTGGCGCCGTCAACATCTCGGTCCAAGACTTTGTCCTCTCCGCCAACACCATCACGGTCAACGGCGTGGCGCCGTCGACGCTCAACATCTCCGTCAGCCTCGGTAGCACCGAGGTTGAGGTCTCGCCCTTTGCCTCGCGCCGCCGCAGGCTCCTCACTCGCATCTCCACCCTCGATCTTGTCTTCCCGCCTGGCCAGGAGTACGGCTTTCCGGTCATCACCGCCACCAACACTCGGACCGGCGACGTCCAGACGCTCACAGGCCTCGTTGCCATCGATCCAGGTGTTGATGCGGGCTGCGGCGCCATCGGCCAGTGGTACTCGGGCGGAGTGTGTCTGCCGTGCCCGACCGGAGGAGTGTGCCCCGGCGGCAGCCGGGTCTGGCCGCGCGACGGCTACTGGTCGGCGTCGGAGCTCGAGGCGCCCGTCAAATGCACCAGCAAGGCATGCTGCGGCGCGATGGGCACCCGCGACGAGTGCCCTGCCCGCGAGCTGGCCTCGGGGCGACGCGATACTGCGCGATGTGCACCCGGCTCCGGACGCACTGGTCCGTTGTGTGAGGAGTGTGTCTCTCCGGGCTGGTACCGCGACGCCGGCACCTGCCGCCGCTGCGACTCACAGGATCGCTCCGCGTTTGCCGGCTATGTCACGGCCGCGGTCATCATTGTCCTCGTCGTCTCACTTGCCGTTGCCGTTCTGCCCGGCATCATGCTCGCCCGCATCGTCGCCCTCGTTGTCGCCACGCAGCAGTTTGTGGCGGTCGGGCGGACGGCGTCGGCGCGGCTGACCGGCGACTCGGGCACCTCGATCGCTGACGTCTTCCGTGTCCTCTCGGTCGTTCTCTTTGACATCGAAATGATCCAGCCGGCGTGCTACGTCGACTCAACCATCGACTTTGGCGACATTGTCCTCGGCATGTTGGCTCTCCTCGCCATCGCCCTCACCTGCGTCACCATCGCCTCGCTCGTCTTTGCTGCCTGCGGTCATTCGGTCGCCGCCCGTCTGCGGCGGCAGCCGACCAACAACGATGGCGATGACAATGACGATGACAAGGCTGCAACACCAAGCGCGGGCACCAGCTCGGACATCGAGCTCATCTCGGACGCTGCTGCCGACTCGGAGTACTCGGAGGAGCAGGAGGCATCGTCCAGCACCGAGAGCCACGACGAGAGTTGGGACGACTCGTTTGCGAGCGCGTCGAAGCCAGTCACAACTGCCAACATTGGCCAGCGAATCTGGCAGCGGACGTCGATGGCGATCATGGTCCTCGCGTTTCTGGTTTACTACCAGGTTGCGCTGCGGGCGTGCCAGGCTGTGGCGTGCCAGGAGGAGACAACCGACGCGGCGTCACCTGAGAAGCGGCTCATCATCGAGCTGAGCACGGTGTGCTACGAGGGTTCACACACTACTACCGCCGGCATCGGCTGGGCGCTGCTCATTGTTTTTGTGGCCGGCCTCCCTCTCATCGCGTTCATCGCCCTCACCCGCGAGTACCTTCGCGGGAGCATCAACTCGCTCGACAATGGCGGCCTCTGGCTGGTGGTCCGCAGCACCAAGCCGCACTTTACTTCTTCCGCCTCGTCTCGCTCCTGCTGTCACTCGCGCTCGCTGCCAACCAGGCATCGGCATCGGCGGGTGACACGAAGCTCTTTGTCTCGGGCCTGATCTTCTGCATCAACATGGTCCTCGTCGGCAGCCTGCTTCCGTTCAAGACCTTGCTCTCCAACCTCGTCCCCATCATCGCTGGCCTCGCCGCGGCCATCCAGATGGCTGTCTTCCTCTCGGTCACCGACAATGCCGACCACGCCCTCCTCCATGCCCTCATCGCCATCATTTCCATCTCGGTCGTCGTCGTCGCCGCCGCATTCGCCGCCCGTCGCGCGAAGGGGAACTCGGCCAGCGCCGATGCCGACGGCAAGTCTCTCTCTACCGATGACGACTACACAATGGCCACTGCATCATCGGCGGCCTCGTCTCTCTCGTCGGCTGTCTCATCGATCAGCTCGTAGTTTGTTGCGGAGGATCAAGGTAAACGCCGCAGTTTCGGACCACACTTGACGCTCGATTATCGTAGTCATGTCGTCGATCGCAGCATCCATATGGTTCGGCGATACATTGCGTGGGTGGCGTAGCGGGTCGTCTCGGGTAGCATTTGCCGCAGCGGTGGCGGGGCAGGGGTGGTGGCGGCATGTGTCGGCGCGGCTGTTGCTCTCCTCCGCGCGCCGATCACTGCTTTGGCCATGGCGCGGATTGTGACCGTGCTGTGGCGATCTGGCCACCGCGGACAGTCCGCCTCCACCGCGTTTGTCTCGCTCGCCTTTCTCGCCGCCTCCCCCATCTTCGGCGCTCTGCTCTGGCTCTCGCACACCATCAATCCGGGCCGGTGCCTCCTCCCGGCCGAGCGCAAGATCCTCTCCTCGGGCGTCTGGGCTGCACTATCAGAAGCTGCACACGCACAGGCAGCAACCGAGCTCGCGGAAAACGGAACAGAAGCGACCGAGCTGACCGAAGGCAGGAAGAGGAGCAAGAAGAGCAAGAGCGGCGGGGCGCTGCGCGTAAGAGACTTTGATCCACAGGTGGTGGTGGGCATCCGCCGCGAGGCGTGGATCCCTTGCGTGGTCCACGAGCTCGACGATGTTGTGTGCGACGAGGAGGCGTTCGTACGCCTTCTCAACCGCATGCGCATTCACCAGGGCCATTCACCGCTGTCGTGGATGATGTGCGTGTGGGACGCGTCGACCTACGGCTTTTCCCTTGCCCACCACATCCACACCTCGTACCGCCGTCCAGGCACCACCACCGCTGCCTCGTCCGCCAGCCGCTCCGTCCGCCTCACCGCAGAGACTCTCCGCCATGAGTTTGTCCACTCGCTCCAGTCGCTGGCCACATCCCGCGGCGAGCTGGAGCCCTTTCTTGCTGCCTATGTCGGCGAGATCCTCTTCCTCGCCGCCACCGCCTGCTTGTTTGGCTCTGCCGTCGACCTCTACCACGGCCTCTCCTTTGAGATCCAGGCCTACGCTCTGGAGGACCTCGTCCCATCGTCACTTATTCGCCCGCGCCGTACCAATCGCCGGGCGCCGTGTCGTCGCATCTCCTGATCTACTTGCCGTCCTTCTGCCTTGGAGGAGAGCGCTCCGCCTCCCCTCCCCCTCCCCCCCTCCCCCCCTCTCCTTCCTAATATTGCCAACCCGCCCAGCCCGCCACACCTGCTCACTGTACCCTACCCATACCCATACCCAATCTATCAACCCAATCCCCCACCGATCGTGGTCCCCTCGCCGATCCCCGCTCCTCCCTCGTCCGTCGGCCCCCAAGCCGGCCAACCCACCCAAGCCGCCCGACCCGCCCAACCTGGTGCGCTCACTACTCGACTCACCCCCCCTCACCCTCACCCCCCTCACCCCCCTCACCCTCACCCCACCCCTCCACCCCCACCCCTCCACCCCCTCCCCTTTCCACCCTCACCCCAATCCCCGCATGGAGCCAAACCAGACCCCCCTCACCGGTCATGGACAACCGCCTCACTGCTCGTCCTCTGCCTGGCAGCCATGATCTGGCTCCCTGCCCATCCCTCCACAGCCACCTCTTCGCATCATCCATCACCGTCCCCATCGTCGTCGTCATTGCCGTCATCGCCGCATCCGCAACCGCGCCATTCCATCTCTCCCCATCATTGGCTCCCGCTCGATCCGCACGCTCTCAAGTCGCAGACAGAGGCCATGTTTGTCCATGCCTACTCGGGCTATGTCGCTCATGGTTTCCCTGCCGATGAGCTCCGTCCGCTTGTCTGTCGCCCGCGCGGTCCTCAGCTTGGCCGTCGTCGTCCTCCACGCTCTCGATCGTCTGCAAGACACGCCTCGTACCATAGTGCTGATGCCGATGCCGGTGCTGCTGCTGATGCTGATGCGGGTGCAGAGTCGCGCTCCCGCTCGCCGCGCTCTGCTCACGCTGACGCTGAGCTTGCTAAATGGGCGCGAGACTCGGTCCTCAACTCGCTCCGCATTCCGCAGCTGGTCGAAGAGGAGGAGGAGGCCGAGGTCGGGTCGGCCGAGGCAGCGCGCGGGACGCTCGATCACGCCTTTGGCGGCTTTCCGCTCACTCTCCTCGATGCCATGGACACATTGGCGGTGATGGGCGCGTGGGACTCCTACGTCGATGCGCTGTGGGCCTTTGTCGATGCCACGCCTGCCTTTGACACCAAGGTCGATGTCAACGTCTTTGAGCTCACCATCCGCGGCCTCGGCGCCCTCCTCGGCAACCATCTCTTGCTCGAGCCGCTGGATTCGGACCTGGCTTCTCCAGTGCCCGCCGCCGCCCTTGCCGCCCATCCGTCCGGTCGCGCATATCGCGGCGAGCTCCTCGCCCTGGCCGTAGACCTCGCCGACCGCCTGCTGCCGGCCTTTGACACCCCGACTGGAATCCCGCGGTCGATGGTCAACCTTGGTGTGGCCAAGCCAGCGGCAGCGTTCCCGTCGGAAACCTGTACTGCCGGCGCTGGAACGCTCACGCTCGAATTTGTCGTTCTCTCGCGCGTCACAGGCGATGCCCGCTACGAGGAGGCGGTGATCAAGGCGCTTGTCGCTCTCCACGGCGCCCGGTCACACCTTGGCCTCATGGGCAACACCATCGACGTCAACACCGGCCGCTGGTCGCGTTCCGACTCTTCGATCGGCGCAGGCATCGACTCCTTCTTCGAGTACCTACTCAAGGCCCATGTCGTAACCGGCGAGGCGTGGTACGCGGACATGTTTGACTCGGCCGCCGCCGCCGTCGAGTCCCACATGCATCGCGGCGTCTTCTACCGGGTCGCTGAGATGAACACCGGCCGAGTCATCCGCGCCTCCATCTCGTCGCTCGGCGCCTTTTGGCCGACCGTTCTCACCCTTGACGGCCAGCTCGCCGCGGCGCAAAACGCGTTTGAAGGCTTCTATGCTCTTTGGCGCAAGTTTGGCTTCCTCCCCGAGGTTGTCGCCCTCACCGACGGAGGCGCCATCTCGCCGACCTCGCCGCACTATCCGCTTCGTCCCGAGCTCATCGAGAGCGCGTACTACCTCTACCGCGCCACCCGCGATCCCTACTACCTCGCTGTCGGCGCAGACGTCCTCCATGCCATCGCCACGCACTGTAAGACCCGCTGTGGGTACGCAGGCGTTGCCGATGTTCGTACCCGCCGCCTCGATGATCGCATGGACTCGTACTTTCTTGCAGAGACCCTCAAGTACCTCTACCTGCTCTTTGACGTCAACGAGACTTCGTTTGTCCACAACACCACCGCTGCGTCCTTCCCGCCAGGAGGCTACATCTTTACCACCGAGGCTCACCTGCTCCCAGTTTCGCAAGCCGTGCATGCTGCTGCCCCGCAGCCCGCAGCCCACACTGCGTCGTATGTTGTCCGCCTCGCCGCGCCCGACATCGCCCCATGGATCACGTCGCTCTCAACGCACCCCCGCCGCCGCAGCTCGGCACCGCAGCCACAGGGCGTCCCGCGGACGTGCTCGACCGACGAGTGGCGGACGGCGGCAGATCCGTACGGCCCATCGCCGTATGCCGCCGAGGCTCGCGCCCTGGCAGACACTGCCGTTGGCCTCACCTCGCCCGAGTTTGCACCCGAGGCCTGGGCCGAGGGCGGGACCTCGCTCGAGGCTGCTGCTGCTGCCGCCGCTGCCGTCGCGGCCGCGGCCGCCGCTGCGCTCCCCGACGAGCTCGAGCTGACCCAGGCCCCGCCAGGCCCTGCCGCCGCCGACCTCGGCGCCAACGTCGCGGTCCTCTATCTCTACACCAAGACCAGCTCCGGCTGGCGCCGCACGGAGCTTGACATGGCCGAGACCGGTCTAGGTATCGCTAGCGAGCCCGGCCGTGCCGGCATGGTCGTTCACACCGTCGACGGCAAGCCTGTCGACTCGCCCGACATTCACCTGGTCATGCTCACCAACCCGCCGGCCAACGATCGAGACCATGGCTACTGCGTCGACACGGCACCGGTCGTCCTCGCTGTCGACGGCAGCGGCGACGAGCTGCCGCCGCAAGAGTATGCCGCCGCACCGGCGCTCTTTGGCCCGCGAGTTCCTGAAGAAGGTGTACACGCTCCCATGGTGCTGGCTAGCTCCCTTGCATGCATCCGCATTCCGCGGACCACCACATCGTACGCGGGCCGCATCGTTCTTGTCTCGCGCGGCGGGTGCACATTTGCCGACAAGGTGGCCAACCTGGCCGCTGCTGGCGCCACTGCAGTCGTCGTTGCCAACCACGGCTCCGGCGACGTCTCGCCCGATGTCGTCTTCAAGATGATCGGCTCCGGCTACCGCGCCGCAGACCTTGTGCCTGCCCTCATGGTCTCGCGCTCGGTCGGCAACATCTTGCGAAGCCGCATCCGCGACCGCGAGACCTCGCACCAGCCTCCTCTTGTCGGCGCGCTCTGGGCGCTCCCGTCGTCAGCCGGCCAGGTCGTCGACGCCAATCTGCTGTCGTACTCGGACGAACCGGTCGTCAACATCCGCGTCTTTTGGCATGGCGTTGAGCTCGACGACATCCCGCAGCTCATCGCCCACCAGTCGCGACCGCCGCGCCCGGTCACCCCGCGCCTCGAAAAGTAACATCGCGTGCCATCCCTCCTCCTCCGCTCCGTCTCACCTCTGCCTTGCCAGCGCCTCTGCCGCCGCAGCCAGCGCGTCCGCATCTAGCGGATCCAGACCCGGCCCAAGCAGACCGTCTGCCGGCGAACCAGCCCATCCCGCCGCCCCGTACCGATCCGCCAGCGCCACCACATGCTCCGGCGCCAGCGCTGCCACCGCCACTGCCCGCCGCGCAACTAGCGCCGCAAGCCGCTCCTCAAACACCTGTCCAGCCCCAGCCTCTCCATCGCCTGGCGCGAGTTCGGCCAGCCGCTCTGCATACTGGTTGGCGGCAAGAACAAACATGTGCGCATCGTGCGCTGCGGCGCGCACCAGCTCGGCCTCGTCATCGTCGCTCTCATAGTCTCCATAGTCGTACGAGTCGTCGCCAGAACCAATGCCGAGCTCGATCACCCCAGCTCGTCCGCCTCTCCCGACCGCACTCTCGAGCTCGCCGGGCTCCATCACCCTTGCGCAGCGCATCACCGATCCGATCTCGTCCTCGCTGCGGACCACCACCCTCACCTCGTCCTCGCCGTCCTCGCCGTCGTCTCCTTCATCCGCCACGTCTTCCATTGTCCTTCGATGCCGCGAGACCGGGACTGCCGCAGCATTCTCATCCTGACCATCATCGCCATCATCGCCACCACCGCGACCGCAATCTCCCTCCAGTTCTCCCCTGGCCATTGCGGGACTCGCCGCCGCCCGTGCAGCACCCGCCAAGTTCCTGACACGCTTCCTCACAGGCTCACTCGACATGTCTACGCCCTGCCCTCACACGTGGCTCGGAGAGATTGGTGGACGATCTCTTTCTCGCAACGAGGTGGCGCGGGGCAGGGGTGGGGGGAGGGGGCAAGGCCGGCGAGGTGTTCGCGATCATGATCACGATCAACCCACTTGATCACTCACCTGATCATCAACCCTATCCACTACCTACCTACCACACCCGCCATCCCACAGCACACCACAACCGATCCATGAACACAGTGTCCTGAGGGAGGATGGGGGAGAAGGGAAGACAGTGTATGTGTGTGTGTGTGTGGGGGGGGGGGGGAGGGGGGAGATGACACGGCATGTGCTGTGGCGGTGGCTTGTCATGTCATCGTCGTGGGAGCGACATGACGTGGAGCTGACAATGATGACGACATGGTTTGGTGGCAAAGCATATAAAGTGCAGCCTTTTTGGCAGAGGGAGTCAGGCAGAGCCGCAGCGGTTACACAGCTCTAACTTACTTCTACAATGGCAGAGACCAAGGGCGACATGTATGTGTGACAGAGGAGGAGCAGACGGGGCGGTGGGTGTGGTGGGTGTGGTGGGGAGGGACATGGGGGGAGAGGGAGGAACTCACATGAGGGCGGTGATGACCCATGCCATGGCTGGCTGTCCCACCGAACACGTGGCGAATTGGGGCTTGGCGGCGCTCAGTGGGCTGATTGGGCTGGCGGTCATGGGCCAGAACCTCATCCTCAACATGAACGACAAGGGCTACACCGTGGTGGCGTACAACCGAACGCAGGCCAAGGTCGACAAGTTCCTTGCCGGCGAGGCGAGTGGGACCAAGGTGCAGGGCGCGTCGTCGCTGGAGGAGCTTGTGGGCAAGCTCAAGTCGCCGCGGGTGGTCATGATCATGATCAAGTCGGGCTCGCCTGTTGACGGCGTCATCGACGAGCTCAAGCCGCTGCTCTCGCCGGGCGATGTCATCATCGACGGCGGCAACGAGGACTACCGCATCACCAACCGGCGGGTGAAGGAGCTCGGCGAGGCCGGCATCCTGCATCTCGGGTGCGGCGTGTCGGGCGGCGAGGAGGGAGCTCGCTTTGGCCCGTCGCTCATGCCGGGCGGAGCGCCCGAGGCCTGGCCCATCGTGAAGGACCTGCTGCAGGCGACGGCGGCCAAGACGCCCGACGGCGAGCCGTGCTGCGATTTCATGGGCTCGGGCGGCGCCGGGCATTTTGTCAAGATGACCCACAACGGCATCGAGTACGGCGACATGCAGCTCATCTGCGAGGCGTACTCGCTCATGCTTGCCCAAGGCATGGACCACGACGAGCTTGCCGCCACCTTTACCGAGTGGAACTCGTCCGAGCTTGACTCGTACCTCATCGAGATCACCGCAGAAATTATGGCCTTCCGCACCGACGACGGCGAGCCGCTGCTCCCGCTCATTCTGGACAAGGCCGGCCAGAAGGGCACCGGCCGCCTCACGGCCATCTCGGCCCTCGACTTTGGCATTCCGGTCACCCTCATTGCCGAGGCCGTCTTTGCCCGCTGCCTCTCGGCGCTCAAGGACCAGCGCGTGCGCGCTGCGCCGCAGCTGAGCGGCCCGGCCGCGAGCTCCGCCGACGACCGCACCGCCTTTCTCGACAAGCTTCGCTCGGCCTTGTACGCCGCCAAGATCCTCTCGTACGCGCAGGGCTTTATGCTCCTCGCTGAGGCCTCGGCCAAGTTTGAGTGGGAGCTCAACATGGCGTCGATTGCCCTCACCTGGCGTGAGGGCTGCATTATCCGCTCGGCCTTCCTCGGCAACATTGCCGACGCCTACCACAAGGACCCGAGTCTGGAGAACCTGCTCTTTGACGACTTTTTCAACGCCGCCATTACCAAGCACGAGTCTGCCCTCCGCGAGGTGGTGGCCTATGGCGTGCTCAACGGCATTGCGCTCCCTGCCTTTTCGGCCGCGCTCTCGTTCTACGATGGCTTCCGCACCGCAGATGGCTCGGCCTGCCTCATTCAGGCCCTGCGCGACCGCTTCGGCGCCCACCAGTACGAGCTCAAGTCGAACCCTGGTACCTTTATCCACACCAACTGGACCGGCCACGGCGGCGACGTGGCGTCGTCGACGTACAACGCGTAGTGTGAAGGAAACAAACGAGTTCATTGTGTGCCAGTGAGAAGGGCAGGCGGGGAGGGGGGGGGAGAGGGATGCGCTGCGCTGATTCTATGGGAGCGGCGGCGGCGGGGCAAAGACGGCCGGTGACGGCTTGGGCGGGAGCGAGTCGCGCCGGCGCGGCGGCTTGTTGGGCGGTGGCAGCGAGATCTTGCGCGGGATCGGCGGCGGGCGACCGGGCGAGGCGGCAGGCGACGAGCCGGCCGACGACGAGTGCAGTCCGGCGGGCGGCATGGGCAGGATGTCGATGTCAAAGTCGTCGTCGGGGAGTGGCGGCGGCGGGCCTGTGATACGCGACGGGGCGCCAAAGATCGACGGCGGCGTCGAGTTCCGCCGCTCGCTGGGGACAAAGTTGGGAGGAATGGCCGACCGCGGCGCGTCCGACGCCGGCGAGCCCGGGATGGGCGGCGGCGGCTTGGGCATTGCCGACGCTGCAAGGGCGGCGACGAGGTCCGGCGGTGGTGGCGGAAGTTCGTCCGCGGGCGGAGGCGGGAGCGGCGACGGGTGCGCCGCCGGGAGCGGGCCTGCAGCGACGGCGGCGGCGGCGATGGCGGCAGCGTCCAGCTCGGCGACAGCGTGGGGGGTGCGGGTCGACGAGGCAAGAGGCGACTGCTTGCGCGGCGAGGCGGCGCGCGAGGCAATGTCGGAGATGCGTTGCGAGAGCGAGGCGCGGCGGGTACGGCGGATGGCTGAGGCCGCAGCGGCGACGGGCGCGTCGGCGGCCTTTTCGGCCTTATTGGCCTCAGGCGCGGCGCGGGCCTCGCGCTCGGCGTCGAGGCAGTGCCAGAGCAGGACCGGGTAGATGACGTCGCGCGGGGCGGCGTTGGCGGCCGGATCATTCTCGTCGGCAAGGAGCGCCTCAACTTCAGGCGGCGAAAAGGCAGGCAGTGCCTCGCGGGCCATGAACAGGGCCTCGAGAAGGAGGCGGACGGCACCGACCTCGTTGCCGAGGAGAATGGCAGTCTCGGCGAGCTTGCGCCGGGTAGCGAGGACGTGGACAAGCGGGACGCGGGTGAGGTCCAGCGAGAGGAGTTTGTCACGGATGGCGTAGGCCGCGTCGTAGTCAAAGTTCTTCATGGCGCGGGTGGCGAGGATCTCGGCGTACTTGATGGCCTTTGCCGGCATGTTCGACGAGCAGTAGTGGCGGAAGAGCGCCTCCATGTCGGTGGCGAGTGCGCCAGAGAGCGCCTCGAGGCAGAGCGCGATTTCGGCGTGGAGGAGTGCGCGCTCGCGGTAGGGCAGAAGGTCGTAGACAACGTCATGAATGACCTTGTTGCAGAAGCGGAAGACCGAGCTCGGCGTGAGGGCCGCCGAGTCGGATCGCACCGCCTGAAGGTGGGCAAACATGTCGCTGGACGAACCCGAGAGATTGGTCCCGCCCGAGCTCGCCGACGGGAGCGAGCCCGAGTTCGAGAGTGTTCCCGAGCCGTCGAGCGCTTCGTGCGGCTGCGCGGCAGCGAGTTCGATAAAGCCGACAGCGATGAGGGCCTGGAGCTCAGCCTCGACGGTGGGCCAAAGCGCGGGCGTGCCCGACGCCGACGGGGCGGCGGACGGCCCGGTCCGCGACGGGTGGACTTGCATGAGGATCGAGGCCGAAAAGGTCATGCCGATGCAGGCTGCAACCTTAGAGACCTTGGCAACCGAGGGCGCGAGCCGGTCCATGCGCGACACAATGTACGCCTGCAGCGGACCGGGAACCGGCATGGAGCGAATGTCCTGCGAGGAGACGCCCGACGGGACGACGCAGTAGCCCGACTCGATGTGGACAAGCTTGCGGTCCTTCATGGCGTGGACCATTTGCTCAGCAAAAAACGGGTTGCCGCCGGTCTTGGAGACCACAGTCTCCTCGACAACTGACGGCAGCTCCTTGACCTTGAGGCGGGCGGCGGCGATTTGCCGGATGGCGCAAGGAGGAAGTGAGTCGAGCGAGACGGTCATCGACCGCTGGCTCCGCGCATCTCCGCGGAGCTCGGCGTAAAAGCGCGGGACGTGGCCAAACGGCCGGGCGCCAGTCATGACCATAAGGCCTGGCAGCTCAGCGTTGACTGCGGCGACGAGCAGATTGCGCGACGACGAGTCGAGGTGGTTGATGTCGTCCATGAGCAGCAGCGTCGGCGCGCTCCGCGACTGCCACTCGAGAATCGCCATGCAGAGCTTGCCGGTGGCGTCGAGCTTGGCTCGCCCGCCGAGCGACGGAGCACCCGGCCCATCGACTGGGATGCGAGCGTGGAGCTTGAGGCCTGGCAGAACGCCGGCAAGGAGGTAAATGGGGTCGATGTTGTCAAGGCTGGCCGAGAGGCCCGTGTCCTCGTAGATCTTGTACACCAAGTTGGCCTGCTGGGCGGGCCCTCGGCGCGCGGCCGGCGGCCCGGCGGCGTGCAGGGCGTCCGACTCGGCGTCGTTGTTGATGGGGAGGAGAGAGTCCGAGCTCCGAGCGCCAGCGAGCACGTCCGAGAGCACGCCGGCAAACGACGAGTACTGGATGCTCTTGGAGATTTCCGAGCCGCAACCCTGGACGACCGAGTAGCCGAGGGCAACGGCGTACCGCTGGGCCTCTTCCAGCAGGCGCGTTTTGCCCTCGCCGGCCTCACCCTCAACGCACACCACGCGGAGGCCCGTATTGTGGTTGACGGCGCCGGTGCGGGCGCGGAGAGCGCGAGCAACAAGCAGCATTTCGCGGTTTCGGCCGACAAGCGGCACGTTGCGGCGCTCCATGTCGACGAGCGACTTGAGCGCCTTGCGCTCAGCAATGGCAGCGGGCGCCCAGACCTCGATCTCGTTGGCCTTGCCCTTGAATTTTTTGCGGCCGATGCGCTCAAACTGGACCCGCCGCCCTGTGGCATAGCATGACGAGACGGTGGCGCGGTCCATGGCGATGGCGTCGGGGTAAAGGTCATGAGCCGCGCCGCCGTATTGACGGCATCGCCAATGACGGTGTACTCGCGCCGCTCCTTGGAGCCGACGATTCCGCAAAAGGCAGTGCCGGTGGTGATGCCGATGGCCGAGACAACCTGGATCAACGCGAGTTGCTCCTGTGACTCGAGCGCGGCGAGAACCGCCCGCTCGGGATCGTCCTCGTGCGCAAACGGCGGGAGGCCAAAGCCGGCGAGGATGATGAAGCCCTTGTCGTCAAGTAGGATTTTGTTGATCACACCACCGTACCTGTAAAAGGCGGTCTGGATGGTGCGGACGACCTGGTGCGCCCGCTCGAGCGACGCCGCGTTGGTCAGCTTGACATTCTTGATGCACATAAAAACATGGTGAGTCGGCGGAGCTCGGCGACCTGGGTCAGCTCGCCGGGCTTGGTGTTCTTCTGAATGACCTTGGGAATAAACATGCGGAGTGAGCCGGTGACCCGTGCCTCAAAGGCCGTCTTGACCACGGCCTGCGTCATGACCGGCGCGTCTTCAAAGGCAGGCTTGGCGCCGAGGATCTGTACAAAGCCGTCGGCCTGGTCAGCAAGTGACGCGGCAGCGGCCTTGATGTGGACCGGGCCGCCGTCAAACATGGCGTCGACGAGCGACCAGACTTGCGGTGAGACGACGGTGCCGTGCGAGGAGAGCGAGCCGCCGAGCGCAATCTGCGCCAGCGGCTCGCCACACAGCAGGTATGTCCATGAGTCAGCGACGCCACCGACCTGCAAAAAGTGCAGCTGGCCGGCGCCCACGCCCATGTGCAGCCGCGGCTCGTCCGAGTTGGGATCCGAGTTGACCGCCTCGTCGATCGTCGCGGCGCATTTGACTGCCGCAAACGCGCACTCGCGCAGAATCTCATCCGGCAGCGCCATCTTGTGCTCCGAGTTGTGCTTTGAGCCCCACATGGCAATGAGCGCGTCGCCGGCAAACAGAATGACGTCGCCGCCGTGCTCGTGCACCATTCGGATCAGCCGTCCAAAGTACTGGTTGAGGAACGAGACAAGCTTCTCGGCTCCGTCCGGGCCCTCACGTGCATACTTTTCCGTCAGCGGAGTAAAGCCCGCAATGTCGCAGAACACCACTGCGCCGTCAAATGACTCGACCCGCGGCGCCCATACCTCGCCAGCCTGCATCGTGAAGCAGTGCCGGACCGTCGCCAGCGGCACGTACGATGCCAGCGTCTCGGCCACCACCAGCGATGATTCGGCATGACCCGAGCCCTGTCCGGCCTGCTTGAGATGCACACCTCCACGAAAGTGTGTCGCTTCTATGTACATATCCGCCCGCACTGCCAGCCGCGTCCTCGTCTTTGCCACCTTGTCATACTCGCTGTGGCCTGTGTGTGTTGAGAATGATGAAGATGACGACCATGATGACCATGACCATGATGATAATGATAACGTGAGTACGACGAGGGTATGTCGTGTTTCACCCATTGTGTGGCAACAGAACGCAGTGAGACTGCCATGCCACCCCCTGTGCACACCAGCAAGCGAGGGACGAGAGGCGAGGGGCGAGGGATGGAGGAAGACGGGGGGAAGGGGGGGGGGGGTCGGGGGGGGGTTACCGGGTCCCCCGTACCCGTGGGGAGGCTGG